ATCGCTGCCGACGAGATGTCCGCCTCGGTGATTGGCATCAAGGGCTCGCAGGTGCTGTTCTCGGCCATGGGCGGCGCGAACGGGCTGGAGGCGACCGAGACCGACTGGTCGCGTCGTCGGCCCAAGACCGAGTTCTGGCTGGAGCTGCAGGACACGGTCAACATCCTGTCCGGCCGGAGTAGCAAGGAGAACGCGGCTGCCTGGACTTCTTATGCTGCTTAGGTTAGTGAGAAGGCTGAGACGGGACGAGGCCAGGCTGGGCTGGGCTAGAGCTAGAGACGAGCGTGGCATGAGGCATGAAAAGATCGATACAGATGGGTGTTATGCGATATGGATAATGATTCGTTCATCAATGGACTTGTTGATGTTTACCCTCCTCCCCGCACCTTTCCCGTAGACTGCCTTGATGTATACCCAGAGTAAGAACTCCTTTGCACCTTCCCGTAAGACCAACCCTGATGTACACATAGAGTAAGAACCCCCTTCCCCCTTTGCACCTTCCCACCCAAACCACTCCTGACATTTACCTAGGGTAAGGCTTCCCGGGGGAGAACCCCCGGACCCCCTTTCTTTCAGCTTCCTGGTATCACTCAACCCTAATGTATACCTAGCATAAACACGTTCCGGGGAGAACCCCCGGACCCCCCTTCTTTCAACTTCCCAGTAACACTCAACCCTAATGTATACCTAGCATCAATACGTTCCGGGGGAGAACCCCCGGGCCCCCCTTTCTTTCAGCTCCCCAGTACCCTCAACCCTAATGTATACATCTAGTAACGCTTTCCAGTAAAATCATCCATAGTTAACATCGAATGCCTAAAGATTTACATAGAAATATAGACCTCTTCTCCCATTATCTACTCCAAAGCACCCACAGAGAGATATCTAGATAATGACCGGGGGAGACCCCCGGACCCCCCTCTCATATCAAACCAAGTAACACCTTTGGAAGTTAAAGAGAACATATAATAAGCGTCACCCTAGTATAGTTAATACTTAAAAGTAACGGGGGGAGACCCCCCGTACCCTCCCTCTTATTTAAATTAAGCATTAACTCCCATATTATAAATCATGTGAACACGACAATCAAGGAAAAACCAGGCTCTTAGCCTTAGCAATGAAGAAATCCCTCCCCTTGACCAACCTCACCAACCAAACAAAGGGCACCCACCCAAACCACAACTCCCCGGTACCCCCCGCCGCCCCAATGGGCACGACCATCATCGCCCTGCCCGGCGCAAAGCGTCTCCTCCTCCCCGCCCCAGCCCCATTAATCTCCGCGACCAGATTATGCGCCACAATGCCCGCCTGCTCCCCGGCGCGCTGCGCCAACCGCCCCGGATGCGCGGTGAGATCGCCCGCGGCCCAGACCCCCTCCACCGCCGGCCCTTGCACGCGCAGCTCCTCGTCGACCACCACCCACCCCTTCTCATCCAGCACCTCCCGCGGCAGATAGGCGCTGTTCGGAAGCACCCCGGTCGTCGGGATATACACCTCCGTCTCAAGGGTCTCGCCGTTGTCAAGGGTCACGACCCCCTCCGCCGCGGAGTAGCTCTGGACCTTCCGTCCGGTCACAACGTGCACCCCCTTCGCCGCGAGTTGTGTCGCTGCTGTCCTGCTCGCGCCCTCTGTAAGTCCAGGGAGTACCCGCTCCGCTGCAGAGATTAGAGTGATGGACGGTCGATGCGGGAGGTCAGCGAGCTCGCCCGCCGTCTCGAGCCCGACCGGCCCCGCGCCGCCGATGACGATCCGCTTCGCCTTCTGAATGGTCGTTTGCGCGCTGCGGATCAACTCTTCTAGGGGGGCGGGGGTGGGGTTGGAAGGCGAAGGGGGCGGGGGCTTGAACGGGTACAGCGCCGCAGTCTCAGAATCGGCAGCAACAGAAGAAGGCGTGGTACTCCCCGTCGCGAGGACGAGGTAGTCATACCCAAGCTCCCTCGTCTTTGTCCCTGCGGTAGATGAAGACGCAGCCAGCGCAACGCTCACCCTCTTCGCCGCGAAGTCCACCGCCGTCGCGGCGCCCTCCACGAACTCGAACTCGCCCGCGGGATAGGCGGCGAACCCCGGCGCGATGGGGATGAGGTACTGCTCCGGCCGGAAGGCGGCGGGTTTGGTGAGGATGCGCGGGGCGGCGATCATCCAGAAGAAGTCGGGCGAGGGGTTGACGAGGATGACTTTGGTTTTCTTGGTGGTGGTGGCGTTGTTTTTGAGGAGGGCGTGCGCGATGGGCAGGCCGGCGACCGAGGCGCCGAGGATTAGCACGGTGGGCATTTTTTTTTTACTTTGTTTTGGTGCCCTTGTGAGGGGAGGATGTAGAATGTAGATGGTTTAAGGTACGGTGGAGTCGGATGTCGGTGGATTTATTGTCTACCCGTTCCACCATCTTATAAGTTACTCTGTAACCTTGGCTGGAGTGGGTGCGAGGTGCCTGTGCGACTAACCAGGCGGAAAGCTTGCGCGCGCGTGTCGACCCACTTTGCTGCAGATCGCAGACCGACACTCCAGGGTCTACTAAGCAGCACTGACTTGCTTGTGAATACGTGGATCGAAGATTAGTGATACAAGCAGGCCCGGCTTGGAAATCCCGCGCGGCAACCGGCGTTGATTATAAAGCATCACTCCCAGACAAACGAACGCTGATAAATCACAACAAAGGATTAGGTAGACTTCTGCTGCGGGCAATACGAGCCCGACAAGCAACAACAAACACAATCGCCAGATCCTACGACAGCCCTTCCAACTCATCCAGCTCGTCCAGGAGCTGCACCGTCTCCGCCGGACTCGCAATCCACGCCGTGGTCGACGCCAGCCTCGCCTAGCATTCTGTCAGCCTGCCTGTTCGACCAAAGACGCGGACCCCACTCACCTTGAAATCATTGGCGCCTGCCGACAGGAACTGGTCGCCCACGTGCAGCGTGCGCGCGGGCTCGATGCCGCCGAAGTACTTCTGGCACGCCCGCACACCCCAGGACTTGTCGCCGATGTCCACGAACACGTCGTTGCCGCCTGACAAGCTGTTAGTACTATCTTCGCGGCTGTTCATAGGTCTCTCTAATTGAGCTTTGCTGGGAAGTTGAAAGAAAGGGGGGTCCGGGGGTTCTCCCCCGGAAAGCCTCGCCAGAGACTTCAAACTGAGTGTGACAGGGAAGCTGAAAAAAAAAGGGGTCCGGGGGTTCTCCCCCGGGAAGCCTCTCCCTTGTGACTTAGGGCTGAGTGTGACAGGGGATGTGAAGAACAAGATGGGGTTACCGTTGAAAGCACAGAACGGCAGTCGGGAGCCGACGGGCGAGCGCTCGACGGTATTCTGAACGACGAGGACGGTCTCCTCGAGCTGCTCGCGGGTGATCTTGCTGCGGTCGAGCGGGTAGACGCCGACGGCGCGGTCCTTGCGGAGGACGGCGACGGGCAGGCTGAGGTTGGCGGCGCAGGCGCGGAGGGAGGACTCGGCGATGTCGAGGAGCTCGGTGATGTCGGCGTCCTGCCAGGCGCGCATGTCCTCGAGGACCCACTCGGAGCGGGGCACGTAGACGAGGCGGTGGGGGGAGTGGTGGTCGTAGCGGAAGAGGAAGTTGCTCTCGCCGCCCATGACGACGAGGCCGGTGCGCTGGGCGTCGGTCAGGCTGGGGGAGGCGTGCATGGCGTCGAGCAGGCCGCGCAGCCGCTCGTAGTACTTGGCGGCCTCGGTGTAGCCGGCGGCGGTGACGATGCCGACCTTGCGGCCGGCCCGGAGGAGGCGGGTGATGCGGGCGATGACGGGGTTGTCGTCGGTCAGGCAGGCGCCGTCGTCGTAGAGGGTGACGTCGCCGTCAAAGGTGACCAGGTCGACGCCGGTGGTGCGGGCCAGCCCGAACAGCTGCGCCGAGTTGAGGATCAGCCGCACGTCGTTGAACGAGGGCGCCACGAACCGCCGCCGGCTGATGAACCGCTGCCGGTCCTGGTAATTGAAGGCGTCTTCCAGGAACAGCGGCGTGAAGAACGAGCCCACCGTCGGCACCAGCAGCTTGAGCTTGGACTTGCCGGGCGCCTGTTGGGCCTGGTGTGTGATGTGGTCGCGGATCAGCTTCTCCACGTCCCGGAAGATCTCCGCATAGCGTTGGTGGGTGTCGGCGGCGACGGCGATCAGGTTCTCGCTGTGCTCCTGGTAGACGGCGGTGGGCTGCGAGTGCAGTACGAAGGGTACTGCCAGCAGGCCTTTGATCCACTCGATCAATTGGTCCCGTCGGTGGGACTTGAGGGCATATTCAACGCGGTAGCGGGTGGTCATCGTGAGTTGGGTGGGCGGTGTTGACGGGCTGGGTTCCCCGCTTAAATGAGGGGTGCAGGTGCAGTCAATTGGTAACAGGAGATTTCGCTGGAAAGGTCGGAGTCTTCGAATATAAAGTAAGACAAAGAAAGATAAGGCACAGAGGGAAAATGGGGAAATATAGAAGCAAGGAGGCAGGGGAAGGTAGGAAGGACAACGGACGACAGTTGACTAAGTATACAGAGAAGCCAGCCAGCAGGAAGAGGAAGAAGCCTCGCTCCTCGTCGGAGATCGCCGCCGCTAACCGTGATTGGACCGGCGGTGAAGTCATCTGACCTTCACGGTTATCTGCAGCACGGGTCACATGACATGTCGCCCGTGACCCCAAGGTCTGGCCAAGTCGATGCAAACAATGCAGTGCGAGTATCATACCGGTATCATACCAGGACTAGCAGGACGGTACATGCATCTTGCCATGTAGGGACAACAACTTTCCAAGTAAATGTGTTGACTGCCTAAAGCTACCTCAACTCCTATCAGCCAAGCCAAGCCAAGCCAAGCAAGCAAGCAAGCAAGCAAGCAACAGACCAAGCCATCCAATGCGTCTAGTTCAGGTATACATCTAAATCCCCGCAGGAAACCAAAAAGCAAACCGGAAGTATCTCCCACCCCCAACACCAACACCAAAACATGGGTTCTATAGATGACGATCCCGCACTTTTCACCCCGCACCAGAGCTCCTGCCCCGCAAACACAATCATGCAATATTCATTATTCGTTTCAAGTCGTGAAGCGACAGGGGCTTGACCAGATAGTCGTCGATCCCCGCCGCGAAGGCCTGCTGCTGCATCTCGCTCGACGCCACCCCTGTAACCGCCATGATGGCCGTGCGCGGGCGCGAGGTCTCCTCCTCGAATTCCCGCATCTTGCTGGAGGATTCGATACCGTCCATGACAGGCATGGAGATGTCTGGGGTTTCGCCGTCAGTAGCTATCCTGGTGGGGAGCATGAGGAGCATGAGGAGCATGGAAAGAGCGCTGGCATACCCATAAGAATGTAATCAAAGTGCTTCGTCGACGCTTTGAACTTTTCCAACGCGATAAGGCCATCGGTGGCGGTCTCATAACTGCAGCCGATTTTGCGCATGAAGGTGGTCAAGACCTAGAACTGTTAGCGCATGGACCCAGAGGACAACCCAACAACAGTCCCGTTGACAATCTTGACGTACCTTGACATTGATATCATTGTCGTCGACGATCAACACGTGGAGGTCATTTTGTTTCGATTTCTGCGACATGTCCGGCGCGAAGTCGGACACATTCTCCCGCACCACTGGTGGCGACTCGGATCCCTTGGCCAGGGCGAAGGCATCCGACAAGCTGCGTCCGCGCTGAGCACCGGAGAATGGACCAATGATATAATCCTGCTCCGCCGAAGGAGCCTGCGGGCGAGCTTCATTGATCCTTTGCAAGGCCTGGATGATCTTCCGCGGACCGATACTATCCGATTGTCAGCATGGGACTGTCGCCTGGTCACGGGCTGATACTTACGGCTGCGGGATGTAGATCACGTCGGCACCCTCGATCGTGAGGTCGGGCGGGATTGAAACACCCTGTTCCCCGATCACAATGACTGTGTTGAACTTCAGCTGAGTCCCGCCCTTCTCGTGCAGCGCCTTCAGCGCGGATTCCTCGATCACCCCAATGTCGCCGGATGCTTTATCGATTGAGTCGGCAAATGACAGCATCCACCCAGGTTGACTCAACAACACATTGCTCAACGCGCTCCGCAGGGCCAGTTTGCGCTTTGCCTCCGGCCGCAGAAGCCCGTCCGGGGCTTGTCTCAAGTCTGCATAGGCGTTCAATCCGACCAACGAAACCCGCGTAATCGAGCTAGGAACAGGTTCAGACGGCGCGAAGGTCTCCGCCACAAAGTCCAGAGGCACATAAACGTCGACTTGCGTTCCAACGCCAACAGTGCTTTTGACTTCTATCTCCCCTCCCAGGTACGTGACGACCTGATTCACCACACTCAAGCCCAATCCCACCCCCTCGGTCAATATATTCTCCTGTGCGAATGGCGTGAACAGCTGATGCTCAAGAAACTCAGGCGCAATTCCACATCCAGTGTCTTTCACCGAAAAGTGCGCAAAGATCTTCTTGGATCCCACATCTCTATGCACCTTCTTCGCCAAGGAGATCTCGATATATCCCGACCGAGTGAACTTGAAAGCATTGCCCAGGATGTTCATCACAATCCGGCGCCAGCCACCTGATAATGACTGAATGTTCCACGAGCCGAGATCCTCGATCTGAATAATGACCGACAGATCATCGGGGTTGTTGGTCTTTGCAGCTCCACTCGTCATAGACGTGCCGGTCTGCAGGTACCGACCCGCAATCTTGGAAGCATTAATGAGAGAGCGATGGCCGACATACAAAGAGTCGGCCACGTCCTCTATGAGCGTGTCCAGGTCGAAATGAGTCATCAGATTGTCAAGTGCACTTCCATTGGCCCCGGCTTTCTTGTGCACAAGGGTTAAGTTGTTGATCTTCGTGAAGTCAAGCCTGGGAAAAGTCAGTCGATTGGTGAGATATCATGTAGCTGAACTTACAGATGGTTCACGGTATCCAGCAATGTCAGACCGCACGTCTCAATCATGGTAACCATGTCCTGCTGAGGGGACTCAAGCCCAGTCGACTGCAGAAGCTCCGTGCTTGTCAGCATGCCGTGCAACGGCGACCGCAGTTCATGGCTCACTGAGGAGAGCAGATCCGATTTGGATTTTTCGGTCGCCGTCCAGTCAATCTGACAATACTTGCAAATCACAGAGTCCCCGAACACTTTCAGGAAGTGAAGATCGTCCTGGTCGAACAAGCGATCTTCGTCACAGGTCCATATCAGTGTCCCGGCGAGCCAGCGCGATTTGTTCCAGTTCCACAACGGCAGAAAGATGAAGGACCGGGCTTCGGGATACGTTTGTGCCAGCCGAGTCTCGACCGACTGACGCAAAGTAACGTCGCTCTCCTTCCGGGATTGGCTGTTGCGACGATTCAGCAGTGAGTTAGGCGGTGAAAGATTGATCGACTGTGGAGGGTTGAAGATCTCCCCGTAGGGGCAAGCGTTGAAAAGATCATGGAACAAGCCCTCGGTCAATGCTGGTCGAAGCGAGTTGGCGGTGCTCTCGCTCACCCGGTCGGATGTGGCGAGACCCAACGTCTCGCATGACCGCTCGGCCCATTGTCCATGAGAGGAGAGACTTGGCGAGCGACTGGACATCCCCAAGTCACTATCTCTGGAGAGCATGTCCCAGTCACCTACGCTAGCAGTCGAGCTACTGTGTCCACGTTAGGTAGATAGTTTACTGTGTGAGGACTTTACGCCTTACCTGCGGGAATTAGTCCGGGATGCATCTACGAAGATGACCCCATCCAACTCCATGCACTCTTGTAACAGAGCACTGGCACGAGCGAAAAGCTGTGAGGTTTTCTCCGAGGTGGCGGTATATTCCGGGACAATCACCAGTCTGTTCGTGTCATCCGACCTTTTCCTGGGATTTTGCGACTGTTCCCAGGGCGAGGCCGCCTTAGGGGTACCCGAGGGTCGACGCTGAAAGAAGGACGAGTCCTGAGCATTTCCCGGCCGTCTACCCGAAGAAGGTGAGACTTCCCGGGTCGCCGTGGACGAGACCGACAGACGAGCAATGTCTGGCACATCCAGGGATCGAAGCGAAATCCTGTTCGATGCGATGCTCTTCCGCCGACTACTCCAATCGGCGTTTTGTGTACTGGCCTGGCCTTGAGCAAAAGCCGTAAGCCCCGTAAGTAACCGGTCCGCCTGGAGTTGGCGACGCGCCTCCCGGACGTATTCCAGGTGGTGTGCTACCGAATTGGAAATTTCATGAAGACCCGCCAATTCGACCTCGCCAAAAGATGGCCGAGCCTGAGTATCTACAGCACCATATGTACCAATGACTTCCCCGGATGAGCTGCATACCGGAACCTCCGCATAGAACCTGGCACGGGGGTGCTGTTGCAGGAAAGCGTGTGGTTTGACGTCGGTCTGCACGGAAATGTCTCGGATAATGGTGCATGTGTCCTTGGGTGGATGGTGGGGATGAGATATCACCTCCTCGTCGGAGCGTAGACCTAATGTCATGAGTCCTAGAGCAGATGCCTCGTTGTCTCCGAGAACAGACGACCCTGCTTCCGCGATGACGTGCGTCTGCCCGTTCTCGAATGACGCCACGAACGCACATTTGCAGTTCAGTTGCAAGACACCGAGCCGAGAAAGAGCGGTCAGAGTTGGGTCTGGAGGGGGGCGAGGTTTCGATGAGCTGTCTGGCTTGTCGGCTGGCGACGACGCCGACAGCGGCTGCGGCAGGCCATCCGTGCGGTCTATAGCCTGGAAGCTGAATGTCCTGCCCAAGAGTCCAACTTGTTAGTCGATTGTCCAGTGTAGTGGGATGGCAAAGGCAAAAGGCCGGTTGGGGCCGTCAGATAGCGGCAAAAAGAGATCCTACTTGGTCTGATCTGGAGCCATCGAGGGCAGAGCTAGCACGTCGCTATTCGCAATAGCTGAAGGCCAGAGTCCTTATGGCATCGCAAGTGATGATACGAGCTCATCCGACGACCCCGGTGGGAAGGAAGATGATGAGGATGGATGACAGGCACAGCGAAGAGGTTAAGCTATATCGTGTGAGTGCGTGCAAAGGGCCGAGATTGCCGCGCAGCTTTGAAGGTCAAATAAAGTTGAGAAATTGGCCACCGTCGGAGCTGAACAGGAAAGCCCCCCCCAGCCCAGCAGCCAAGTGGGCTTAGAAGTGGAGTCGTTGCGGAAATGGGTCTAGGCCGTCCAGCGTCTCCGCTCATAGGGTCGCAGCTTGGGTAAGGGGATCATCGACGGCCCCAAATCACTCGGTGCGTTGGCTTTCTACCTGGTGAATTCCCGGGAACGACCGTTGGTGATCCACGGTTCGACCATGACGACTCTGAGCGCATGATCCGGCCGAAAAGCTTCCTGTGGGGGAAGAAATTCGGCTCCGAAGTATTCCCTGCGAGGCGCAGGATAAGGATATCTGTCAATCGGAGAAACCTAGCGAAATGCTTGGGAGGAATTCTTTCCCGAGGAAGCGGGCTCGGGGAGGGACCGGCGATGGGGCTTCGTGGAGATTGCGCGAGAGGGGAGGTTGTAGTGGGAATGTGGGATCGATGCAGAGTGGATAACTGGATAGATAGATGGAAGGAAGGACGGATGTAACTGTGCTCACGAGAAAAACGATAAGAGGGGGAAAAAAAAAAGAAACTTAGCGAGAACTCCACAGTTGACTTCAATCAATAGAGTTGTGCACGATGTGGCCGGAAAAGGCAAAGAGGAAAGGGAGAGAAAGTAGACTAGGCGATCGTCGGGGGAACGAAGAACGAAGTAACAACAAAGTCGCCCGCAGCTCGCGGCTTCAATCCCGATTCCCGCCCGTGCCGGCCTGGTGGCCTGGCGTGGTTGCCTTCATTCATTTTCAATTTCAGCAGCTTCTTTCACTTCTATTCTTGAGGTTCTTGCCTCATCTCTCCGCTTTCAACACCCCATGCCTGAGGCAACAAATTATTGATTATCTACTCATGATTATGTTATTAATATTCATGGTGATGATTCACGATTTGAAATCTTAGAAATCCCTCATAATGGTAAATCCTCGCAGGCACTGCGAATTGCATTCTCAACGTATCTCCAAGGTCCCAGGTCCCAGATGGTAATTATCCCCACCCCACCAAACTACTAGAAACTACTAGTGGGAAAAAGTACTTTTACCCATCGGGGCTAGACCAACACCTAACTATGGATTCAACTATAGAGATGGAAAGTACTCCGTATCTAGAAGGTCTTTAGACAGTAGAAACAGGCGTGGAAAAGTGAGCTATCATCGTGCTTCTGAGACAGCTGCATGATCCGCTGTCTGCATGTCCAAAGAGCACCTTCTAGCCTCACATGTGGGAAAGAATAAAAAGTTGGCAGGCCAGTGATCCATCCCACATATCGATCGGTAGTATCCGATTCCTAGCCCAGGGATGAACTGTCCTATCGGCACGGAGGGAAACCTGAAACCCACAATACCTGACACCGCCCGGTTCACCCCGTACCCGCGATTGATGTATCATCGCCGGGTACCAGCGCTAGGCTGATCTACCGGCTCAAATCAAGGAAATGGCTCGAATGCATTGCCATGCATCGAGCGCGGTGTACGTCTGGATCGAATCCTGGCTATTAACGTCCAGGGGTAGTAGTCCACGCTGTTGTCGCGTATTCCATTCGTCCAGATCTTCAACCGCTCGCCGGCCAAATGAGCTATTCCAAATCCTGGGTACCGAAGGATCAACTAGTCCTGTCTCTTTTGTCTTTCGCCGATATGTAGTGTACCCGTAGCAAAGGGGAGCGGCAAAGGTAGGCCCCAATGCCAGCGTCGCCCAAGCAGCGCAGTGTGCCAGGCCTTGCATGTCACAGCCGCAAAAGGATAGTGTTCGATCATGCGCCAGGCACTCTTTCAAAACGCCATCGGGTCTATATCTGCATTGATGGAGAAGAAAGCCTCCAGATCCATCGTGGAGAAATCAAAGTCCCAGCCCATGTCGGATTGGGTGAAATCGAGAAGATCATCTCCACTGCCGACGCTACCGCTGGGGATGCGTATGCCGTCCTGTAACAAATTCCCTTGTAGATTAGACAGCATGGGGAGGTTCCCTGCTACCGCCGGATCCCCGAGTGTAGCCATTGGCATGAGGCTCTGCCCTTGGTTGGAGGCGGAAATCGGATGGTGCTGTGGGTTTACCGGGGGGGTGTGCTCATAATCATACATCTGGCTTTTGGTCGTCTCCGGTGCTACCCACTCGTACGAGGGGTGGATTTTCCTAAGGACAGTCTGAATGGCGGTGATAGAACTCTTGATCGGATCCCCAGGCCGCATCTGCGACATGCCTTGCACGGCAGCATGTATCCATGGCAAATGTGTGGCCGCAAGATTCTCACCGTGCATGAGGTCGTACATGAGCGCAAAAGATGAGTTGCCTAGGAAATAGCCATGATACCGCAGTTCCTATAAAGTCATCAGCTTTGTGATGCTCTAATAGAACGTTCAAAAAACAACATACTCTGACCAGTTCATTGCATGCCGATGCTTCGCATAAATGATGAATGGTCCTGCATGCAGCGCTGAGGGCTTGGTTGCAGGCTTCGTTGAGCCATGAGGGAATTTCAGTCGCTCGTTTCGTCGCCGCAACGCGTGATGACCGTTTCATATCCTGTTGCCACCGTCCACGAAATATCAGAAATGGCCGAAAGGTGAGAAGAATTGTGTGATAATATACTGTAGCAATCAGCAACTCCGTCAAGAATCCTGGTTTCACGTATCTTACGAGTGGTCGCAATGATCTGTCGCACCCCCAAGCTCCCTGGCTGGGCACATTTATCCAGCCCAAAGCCCAGCGCTTGTCTCATCAAGCAGTCGAATCCGCGGAGCTCGTCGATGATCGATCTAGCAATCTTCCACATTTGCAGCAAGGACTCATGACGGCGGCCGTACATCTCAGACGCTGATCGAGCAACAATCTTGCCAAGGCTGATGAGGACCTGGAGGAAAGAATCCTCAGGAGGAGCGATACTGACATCCTTCAATGACAGTGAGCTTGGTCGTCCCAGATGGAAGCACGTCCAGCTTTGCATTAAATCAGCGGCGAGCAAGACACAGTACATGACAGAAGCTGGTCTCTTACATCTCATAGAAGCAGAGGGACCAGAACGTCGCACGTCGTTCTTCGGTGCTATCGGCGGCGTCTTCGCCCGTACTTGGGGCTTCCTTGTGCAACCCAGCTGAGATAGCCTTTCGTGTGGCGGTGCCCATGAGCAGGAATGTTGAGTTGGGCCGGCCCTGTTCGCTTTGGTAGTGAGCGTGCTAGCAAGAGAAGTCAGTGTCGTCGTCTCGCAACAGTCTAGAAGACCACTTATCATGATGATCGCCAGTTGAACGGTCTGTAAGTTCACGACATCGTCAAGGGAATGCATGGCTAGCTTGACGCGGTCGTATAGCGTATCACCCCAACTGTGATGCTGAGTGGCTAATGCTCCAATCGCCATGGCTACAAGCAGAATTGACTGGGTTACCTTATCGGGGCGAGCATCCGGCCCTTGGCCATACATCTGAGCCAGCTGGTGATAGAATTCTTCCTTGGGCCACATGGGAGCCAGATTGTGCAGGGTAGCCAAGAACCGTTCGAGAAAGCATTTGGCTAGCTCATAGGGCAAGAACAACAGCTGAGAATCCAAGCCCGCCAGGGTCTTGTTTGCATCATGGGAATCTGTGGGTGTGCCGAAGAAGATCCGGCGAAAGCTGAACATGTCCAAGCCAGCCCCGGCTTCTTCGACCTCACCCTGGGGCCGATCCACCTCGGCCGACTGACTGTTTGCCACCAAGCCTCTGTAGACCTCGTGCATGAGGGCAAAGTGCGAGGTGGAGCCATAATACAGTTGGACCTTGCATGAGGGCGATGTCATGTGGGTGGCTGAGACGCTATTGTTGACGTTCAAACTGACCGACGGGTTCCGCCGACGTGCTTGTGCTTGTGCTTGTGCTTGGTGGTGTGACGGACCGGGAGACCACGGCTGCCGCGCAGCACTGCCTTCGTCGGGCCGGGTAGTGGAAGTGGCAGTGGTGGCCCCATCAGACCCAGGCCTGTCAGGATCGAGCCTCCCTTGATACTGGTATCTCTTCCTCCGCTGGCGGATGACATCGCGGTAGATGCACGGGGTCCCCCGCAATTGGCAGGTTTTGCAGGGGTTGACTCCGTTGCATTTGATCTTCCGCTTCCTGCACTCCTGACACGCCTTGGCGATCCGCCAACCCGTTGATTGAGCCGGGGACTCGGCGTCAGCCATTTGCACTGGGCAAGTTGGCTGGTTGAATCGTTGTGTCTTGTTAAAATGGAAGGTTCATCGTGATGCGTCATTCATTGGGAGGCAGTTGGAAGAATCGGATTTAGATCACGTGAGTTGATCCGTTATTCCGAGCCAGATCCGTCCTAGCCTGAAAGACGGACTCGACCAAGAGGTTTCTTCTACAGCTTGACTACAACCACTTCCATCGATGTGTGTGAGATAGAATTCAGTTCCGTTTATTTACATCTTCGAGCTGCAATGGCAATGATGTATACCACTTTTGCAAAGCCTTCGACTGAAGGTGAGATACCGAGGGTTGGGCACGGAAAAAATATATGTTCAGGTCTGCAGCCAGGTTAGGAAGGCTGAAGCTAGTTGCTGGTGCTACAACAAAAGATCCAAATGCATGGCTCCTAGGCAATCACTTCCCAACACTCTTTTTGGCGTTGGCGTGGGCGTTGGCGCTGGTGCTGGTCAAAGTCACCTAGACCTGTCAAGCTATATCGCTAATCTCTGCTTTCAACCCTTAGACTGGGCAGAAGTATAGCAAAGGTTTAGCGAGAGAAGGGAAAACTTGAAGCATGGCATTTCCTGGAAACCAGACATCCGGATCAAAACGGAAATCTCGACGATCTGGACCGTGTCAGCTTGACTTTCGCAAGCTGGAGGGAATCTGTCCAACGCCACGGCGGAGCGACTGATGGTATCGCGGAGAGTTTCTTGGCAACGCCACTGGGCTCAAAGGACCTCTCCCCTCTCCCTTTGTCCGGAGGCAAGATCATAAAGCGTTTGAGCCATTGTCAGTGGCGAGAATCTCGGATATCCCGACTAGCGTTGAGTTGGTATCGTTGTCGTTGGCCTCAATATCCTCCGCTGGTTGGGATGTGTCACGCTGCCAAGATCTCCAACCGCCAACTCTCCGGGTGTATCTGTCATCGATTCCTCTTTGACTCGTTCAAGACGACGTTTCAGGCCCAAATCGACGTACACCGGCAATTGCACACCTTGATCTCCTCCGTGAAAACACCGTCTGCCTCGGCTAATTCACCCAAGAAGACGGCAGAGACTTTCCGATCATGTATCAAACCTTTTGCCAAGGGAGACTTCCCACGGACAAGGGACTCCTGTCAGGTCTTGGCCAGTCCGGGGTTGCGGGGTTGGGCCAAACGCGGGGGAAGCTGCCACCTGCTTCCTTAACCCTCGTCTCTCCTCGTCTCCTCTTCGGCTAACTGTCTGTGCTGGATTGATGCGAACTTTGATCTTCTCCCCGGATCATTGATTGGTTCTCAAGGGGTGGCTCCAATCTCTCCAGCCGTGATGATCGGGGGGGAAGTCACACGGTTGGGAGTCCCTGGACACGTGGAACGGCCTTTCACTGGATGGAACAGGAAGAGACTCTTTGGGCCCTCGTAAAGAGATGCTTGGCAAAAAAAGCCATGATAAGAACCGCGCAGACTAGCCGATGCCCGTCATAACCATGACGCGGACATCCCGACTATAATTCTATCTTGTCAAGGTGCGAATTGCAAAGTCTGGACCGCTTGTGATTATTGCCGTTTGAAATTGCCGTTAGCGAGCAGTGAGAAGGCGAAAGAAAGCTATAAAGTGGTCGAGTTGGGACAGTTGGTTGTTGGTTGCTAAGGTGGTGCAGGATCTCTCCTCCGCGCTTTCTTTCCTCCCGCCTCCCGCCTCCCTTTCCATCTTCCCCATCTTCCTCGAGCACCGTGACTTGAACGATGCAAAAAGATTCAATGGCTTCTGAGAAAGGCATCACCCACCACCAGGAAGACGTCTTCACTCAAGATGCCTCCAAAGCCGCTGGTCAAGGCCTCGCAGCCACTGATCAGTATGGACGAGCGTTGATCGAATTCGATCCAGCAGCAGAACGCCGCCTGCGCCGCAAGATTGACCTGTTCATCCTCCCCACTGTTTCGCTCATCTACCTCTTCTGTTTCATCGATCGAGCCAATATTGGTAAGCATTGCCTGCCCCATAGAGGATACAATGCGCGTGCCTCTAACCACCCTCTACCATAGGAAATGCCAAACTGGCCGGTCTCGAGAAAGACCTAGGCTTCACAGGCTACGACTACAACATCGTCCTCTCAGTCTTCTACATCTCCTACATCCTCTTCGAAATCCCCTCCAATATCGCTTGCAAGTTGATCGGCCCGGGCTGGTTCCTCCCCGCGGTGACCGTCGCCTTTGGCATCTGTTCGCTGGGCACGGCGTTCGTCCAGAACAAGCAAAGCGCCGCCGGGGTGCGCTTCCTTCTTGGGATCTTCGAAGCAGGCATGCTGCCTGGCATCGCCTACTACCTCTCGCGCTGGTACCGTCGCAAGGAGCTGGCCTTCTACTTATCGCTGTACATCGTGATGGCGCCGCTGGCGGGGGCGTTCGGCGGGCTGCTGGCCTCGGCGATCCTCAAGATCGACCACTTCGGCAGCCTGCACACGTGGCGCATGATCTTCGCCATCGAAGGGATCATCACGATCGGGCTGGGGCTTCTCGCATTCGTGACGCTGACGGACCGGCCCGAGACGGCGCGGTGGCTCACGCAGGAGCAAAAAGACCTCGCCATCGCGCGGATCAAGTCCGAGCGCGTCGCGACGACCGAGGTGCTCGACAAGATGGACAAGGCAAAGATGATGCGGGGGATCTTCAGCCCGGCGACCCTTACCACGGCGTTCATCTTCCTGCTCAACAATGTCACGGTCCAGGGCCTGGCCTTCTTCGCGCCGACGATCGTGCGCACCATCTACCCGACCAGTAGCGTTGTCTCGCAGCAGCTGCACACGGTGCCGCCCTACATCGTGGGCGCCTTCTTCACGGTGCTCTTCCCCTTCCTGAGCTGGCGCTTCGACCGGCGCCTGCCCTTCTTCGTCCTCGCCCCGCCGCTCACCATCACGGGCTACATCATGTTCCTGGCCAGCACCAACCCGCAGGTCCGCTACGGCGCGACCTTCCTCATCGCCGCGGGGGCCTTCAGCTTCGGCGCCCTCTGCAACGCCCACGTCTCGAACAACGTTGTCTCCGACACCGCCCGCTCCGCCGCCATCGGCACCAACGTCATGTTCGGCAACGTCGGCGGCCTCGTCTCCACCTGGTCCTTCCTCCCCTCCGACGCCCCGGACTACCACATCGGCAACGGCCTCAACCTGGCCACCGCCTCCATGACCCTGATCCTGGGCGCGCTGATGTGGATGTGGATGCGCTGGGACAACCGCCGCCGCGAGAAGATCGATATCGATCGCGCCTTGGCCGACCTCTCGCAGGAGCAGATCCAGGATCTGGACTGGCGCAACCCCGCCTTCAAGTGGAAGATGTAAATGGTTTCCCTGGAAGTGTTGTTTGGAGCTGGAGAGACTGGCTGGGCGGGTCACGGGTGTTCTGGAGCGCAAGCGTTTGTGAAGTTTCTGTATGTATGTTAAGTAACTGTTTGATCACATGTCCTCCGGACTGAGTACTATTCTACATGTTATACATCCAATATAAATATGCTAATTCCATGTATACATTTCAAAACCGTTGACGGGATCCAGACTATCGGAGCGGCATCCCGGCAGGCATTGCACTACCTACAGTAACCTCACGAGCCAACGAATTGACTGGACCAGCGCCTCCAATTCAATATAGCAAGTCATCCATTCTATCAAGTCGGTGCACAATTCCTCTCTTGCGACATCCCTCATTCCATCGATTCTACCGACGAAGTAAACATTCTGCAGTCTCGAACGGTTCTGCTTTCTTGTTGAAGTGATTATCATGCCCAACCATGACGAGGTGGATCCTCAGAAATGCATGTCAGAACAAACGTCACTTCACAGAAGATCCATCGAAAAGGGTATAGCAGAAACGTAGGGTATTGTGTAAATGCGTCGGATGACCACGATCCGGCAAACCGAGACTGACACTCGTTATGGCGTGAGGTTGCGGTAGTGAAGGTGGATACGTGATGCAGATTAACCAATAATCTAGCTAGTGTTATATGGGCGGCGTACAGTTAGCTTGCCGGTGCGATGTTTTGTCATCCATAACGTATTGTACATTGGTCTCTATAGAAAAGGAACTCTAGACCCCATTTTGAAAACATGCATATCTTACAGGCTGTGTGTACTCCCCAGAGAATTGCACAGCATATCATGCTCGACAACAACCCCTCTATGCATCTATTGCTTCTATTATCTTTTCATTCGCGCAGGACGCTAACTCGGATTTATATATCCTTCCTCGCATACCGACTGTGCTTCTTTCGCAACGTCTCTCCGTACTAAACACAAACGCGTCAGTATTGTGACCAAGAAGCTATCGATCACCCGGGCGGCGGGAGAGGGGAAAGCTTACCTTCATTAAGACATACGGAATCGGGATAAAGACAATCGACAAGAACGCCAGGGTGGAGCTGGCCCACCCCACGCCCAGATTCTTGTACATGGCCGACGCAAACAGGGGGAACCCCGCGCCGAACGCCGACCGGAACAGGTCGTTCCCCGCCAGGACCGACGCTGCGTACGCCGGATACGCATCAGGCAGATAGTTCAACACGGGGTTGAAGAGCAGAAAGGCGCCGAGGCCGAAGAACCCCGAGCCGACGATGGGCATGATCCAGTGGATGTCGGGGCGGGCGCTCCAGCCGAACCAGAACAGGCAGATGGGAATGCAGCAGCCGCCGACGATGGCGGGCGGGAGGCGGGCCTCCGGGGCGATGTTGCCGTTCTCGTCGAAGCGGGGTTCCAGGTATTTGTGCATCCACCAGTAGTACGGGGGCAGCACGAGGAGGACGCCCACGAGGATGCCGATGAAGGCGAGGCCTTCTTGGCCTAGGTTGAAGCCGTAGATCTCTTCGAAGACGATGGAGAAGGACTCGAACCAGACGTACAGCAGGCCGTAGATGAGCGCGATGTAGAGGTTGAGGAGGAAGACCATGGGCTCGAGGAAGTTGAGGGTGAGCGGGCGAACGAGCGTGATCATGATCAATTCGCGGCCCATCAGCCCCTCGCTCTCGATCTCGGGCTCGCATTTCAGGTTCTCGCGGCCCGTGAGTTTGCGGAGGCGACGAGCTCGGCGGTACAGGATGTTGGCCGACGAGGTCTCGGGCAGGAGGAAGACGAGCATCACCAGCGAGAAGCCCGACAGCCACATGAGCTCCCAGATGGTCCAGGTCCAGCCTTTGGCTTGCGCGGCGAATCCTCCAACCAAGGGTCCGATGACGGGGCCGCACACGGCGCTGATTCCCCAGATACCGATCGCGTAGGCGCGTTTCGCGGGGCGGAACATGTCGGAGATGGTTGCGCCACCCTGCTCAGAGTTAGTACCTATTCTTTCTTGGAGATGGGTAGGAACGCACGGTGGCTAGGGCGGGAGAGCCGAAAAACCCCGTCAAGAATCGGAACGCCAGCAACGTCCCCAAGTTTTTGGCGAGCGCGGTGGGCACCTGGAGGCACACGAAGATGATGAGGGTGGCGATATAGACAGGATTGCGTCCGATCTGGGGCACCTCGCTCATCGGCGACCAGATCAACGGACCGAGTCCGTATCCCGCGACGAAGAGCGTCAACCCCAGCGTGGCAGCGACTTGGCTGATCTGGAATTCTTTGGTGACTGTCACAATTCCCGGAGTAAAGATGGAGCTCCCGATGTAGACGCTGAAGGTTAGGAGGCAGATTTCGAAGGTAACGAACACCTTCTTCCATAGGGGCCAGTTCTGAGGATTCTGAGCCGATATTAGGTTGGTCTGTGTGCAACATGCGTGTGCATGCGTGTGCATGTGAACGGATGCGCACATACCTCTTGATCATTCTCGTCCCACCAGTCGATGACATTGACGTCTTTGCCTTTCTCGGGGTTGATTCGTACGCCCGTCAAACCCTGGAAATTGTGGCCTCTGTGTTCCCATGCCGTCGAGGGGATTCGAGACAGGTGTTCACGGGGAGAGTGGTAATCTTCGTCGGGGACATTGATGGCCGAGTCGACTCGACCTTCGTGAGCCATCTGGCCTGATTTCTCCAAGCTGATATATCGCTTCCATAGTTCCGGATCTCTTTCTTCAGAGTATCGAAAGCAGCGATTTCTGGTGAGAAGGCGGATGGCATGGCCAAAAACCGAGTCTTGGATGAGAGTAGCGGCCATTGCGCAGGTCGGTCGGTTTGTCGATCAGGGAAATGGAGAGACCCTGAAAATCGCTCCACCCAGACCCTTTGGCCGGATCCCTTTATAGTATCCATGATTTCAAGTTTCATGACGATGATGATGATGAGAGTTGGTGGTGGGGACTTGGAATGGAATGCGAGTCATGGGTGGTGATGCGGATGATGTAATGGAAGGATGATGCACCGGTGATGGAAGTGATGGAACATGTTTGTCTGGTTTGTTAGAATTGCTGTTTGCTTGGTTTGAATCATCACTCAGTGGAAGTCACTGACTGATTTGGTCCATCTGTATGTACTCTGTACAATTCACCGCATCTTGTCCTACACTCCCAGTTTTCAAACATACTACAGAGTACTTGATGAGCACAATCCTCCACTTCCCCACTGGCCTGTCCCGGTGGAAACATGTTTGTTCTATCGGTCAGAATTCACCCGCACCCTTCTTTGTCTAGGGACCACTCAACTAACCCCAAACAGAGCAATGCGTTGCTGATCGCTACTCCGTACCACGAGGTGACATTGAAGACTACTGCGTCGGTGGAATTTGGGTGAGCTGTCCGCATTAACGCAGTCCATCTCGCGTGACCCGCCCCCAGTCCCACGCTTTCCCCATAATTTCCCCGGTCAAGGCGGGTCTTCCCCGGGTTTGTGCCGTCCCATACACCCTCATTTGCTCGGAATTCGTGCGCGGAAGTTGACCGAACCTCCCTTAGCCAAGCTAACGCATGCCATTTCCCCGCCTGTCGAAGGATGCAACCCTCTCCATCCGGGGTAAAGACCTCGCAGCGGCCCCACGGTCCCTTTGCTAGAACGTGGGGGAGTCTGTGTCCGCCAGTCAAACAGGGCGTTCCAGTGAATTCCCATTGATAAGCTCCTCGTGAAAACTCGGACGGCCGACAGGGGACATGCCGGATTACACGCTCGGCAACTTGCGTTTCCTCCTCTAGCCCATGCATCCCCAAGGCAAGTTGGTCAGACGATCATGATGATTGGTGCCTCTCATTCATAAACTTCTCGCTCATTCCGATGCACCCCACACTACCGTAGTTGGTGTGGTACAGGCTCATCGCTCTCTCGGGGTGCATCCGCTTTTTGACCCTATATAAACGCAACGAGACGCACGCCAATGTTTCCGGTTCCCATTATACCTTTCTGTTCAAACAGTACTCTCGCTGATTGCGCCTGTGTGCCCTACGATGGCTGGCTCCAAGAAACCGGTCAATATCTTCCGTCTGAGGAACCTCGGCGACCCAAAGGAGATCTTCAATTGGAAGCTATGGTTCGCCGTTCTCTCCTTTGGCCTGATGGGCGCTGCTCGCGGGGTGGACGAGGGGTTGATCTCGGGCGCTTTCAACTCCGCCGACTTCAAACGCACTATCCATTACAGCTCATATAGCGCGGTCGAACAGACCAACATCAAGGCGAATGTCTCCGCTATGGTGCAGATTGGGTCGGTCGGTGGTGCTCTTTTGTAAGTCCTCTGGCCCAACCAACGCATTGGTTCATCGCTCATACGCTGTTCAGCGCTTTCCTCGTTTGTGACCGCATTGGACGCATTTGGGCTACTCGTCAACTGTGTGTCTTATGGATCATCGGCATTGCCATATTTATGGGAGCCAATGGCAACCTGGGTGCGATCTATGCCGGTCGCTTTGTGGCCGGGTTGGGCGTAGGACAAACGGTCGTGGTTGGACCTGTTTACCTGGCTGAGATTGTGAGTGATGGCCAGAACATGGATTGCAAACCCGACTAACCCGTTGGAGGCGCCTGCATCTATCCGAGGCTTGTGTACCTGTGTCTTTACCGGATTCGTCTATCTCGGCATTGTGCTCGCCTACTTCACCAACTACGGCTGCCAAGTGAACCTGGGAGACAACACCCACAAACGATGGGTATGCCACCACTGCACCCACTTTCTATGACTGCAATGAAACTGACTGGTCGTAGGAAATTCCCACCAGTTTACACATCATCTTCGCCGGTCTGATCATCATCCTCTCGTTCCTCCAATACGAATCCCCCCGATTCCTGATCAAGAAAGGCAAACCCGAGCAAGCCCTGCGTAACCTCTCGCGCATCCGCAACCTCCCACAAGACCACGAGTATGTCGTGCGAGAGATCACCGCCATCCAACAAGCCCACCAGGCCGAGCTGGAAGCCACCATGGGCGCCGGCTGGCTTGGCATCCTCAAAGAGGCCTTCCTCATCCCGAGCAACCTATACCGCCTCTACCTGGCCGCCATGGCCCAGCTTCTGTCGCAGTGGTCCGGCGCGGGCTCGATCACACTGTACGCGCCGGATCTCTTCAAGCTCCTAGGCATCACCGGCTCCAACGAATCGCTCCTCGTGACCGCCGTCTTCGGCATCGTCAAGCTCGTGGCCGCCATCATCTGCGCACTCTTCCTCGTGGATGTAATCGGTCGCAAACGCGCCCTGCTGCTCGGCATCACCCTCCAGGGCATCGCCATGGTCTACATCGCGGCGTTCCTGACCGACGTGCCCCAAATGGGCATCGACGACGCCTTCGTCCTCCCGGACTCGAAGAAGGGGATCAGCCGCGGCGCGATCGCCATGATCTACATCTCGGGCGTCGGCTGGGCCCTGGGCTGGAACTCGATGCAGTACCTGCTGACGGCGGAGCTGTTCCCGCTGCGCATCCGCGCCCTCGCCACCTCGGCCGCCATGACCCTGCACTTTGTGAATCAGTACGGCAACTCGCGCGCCGTGCCCAACATGCTGCTCGCCACCCCCGCCGGCGGCATCACCCCCAAAGGCACCTTCTGGTTTTTCGCTGCTGTCACCGTGCTCGGCGGCGTGTGGGTGTGGTTCAGTGTCCCCGAGACGGCGGGCCGCAGTCTGGAGAGCATGGATCGCCTGTTCGAGTTGCCGTGGTACAAGATCGGCCGGTATGGGAACCGCGACGCCGAGCAGCGCGATCTGGTCGTCAGCGAGAAGCAGGAGCACGCGGACGAGCATTTCGGGACCGCGACGCACGAGGAGCGGGCGGATGTGGCGGCCAAGGTGTGATTCAGTCGGTCTTGGTCTTAGGAATGGATCTTGTGGTGAGGTGGTGTGGCCTTTGAGCCGATACAGAATTCTTTACTATCTTCTCACTTCCGGGATTATTTGCATTGGAGTCTCGAGTGGCTGGCCTTTAGCCTCTGGTGCTTACCACCGGGTCCCACCGGAAATAGGTCGGTAGGTCATATACGTAGGCATGTCTGAATCTAAGATACCATAGTTACTGCCTATACAAGACGGAATGCAGCACATATACCTGTGCATAAGAACCGATCCTTAAGCAGACCTCCACGGCTACATCCCCCATGCCCCATGCCCCAAGCCCCATGCCCCATCCACCCTTCCACAATTCGTCTACAACCCTATCACTGACGGCAGACGAACTACATCCACCACATTTCCACGTGAAGCTAGCATTACTCCCAAGTTTCGTCTCTTTCCAACAGGAGTGTACACGAAGCGACGCCGGTTCGTCGTAGCGCTCAACGCCCATGTACATGAACACCAGCCGCGATACTTATTGTTAATCGAGTCTTGCTGTCAGACCATGCCATTGCATCTTGTACAGTACACAGCTACAGTACCTACTCCACGCGCTCGACGCGCTGCACCACCATCGCCGTCGCCGCACCGCCCCCATTGCAAATTGCGGCGACGCCATACTCGCCCGGCTGCAGCTGGTGCAGCAGGGTGACCAGGATGCGCGACCCGGAGCTGCCCAGCGCGTGGCCGAGCGAGATGGCGCCGCCGAGGGGGTTGACGCGGGCGTTCTCGAGGCCGAGGATCTATGTAGATTGCGTTAGCAAAGTCCAGTTCCTTGAAGATCTCACCACGATAGCCCCTCCCGCGCCAGATAGCGAGAGTCAACGTAAACGTACCTTCTCATTCGCCTTGATAACGGCGGCAAACGCCTCATTGAACTCCCACACCGCCACCTGCTCCTTGGAGATCCCCGCGCGCCGCAGCGCAATGGGTACGGCCTTAGCCGGCGCGACCGGGAAATCCACGGGATCGACCGCGGCATCCGCGGCGGCGACCACGCGCGCCAGCACGGGGTTGCTGCCATCGCCGGCATACTCCCTGGCCAGATCCCTGGAGCCGAGGACTAGCGCGGACGCGCCGTCGTTCATGGTACTGGCGTTGCCGGCGGTGACGGTGCCCGAGCCGTCGCGCAGGAAGGCCGGCTTCAGCGCGCGCAGCTTGTCCGCCCTCAGATTCTCGAAGCCCTCGTCCGTGTCGACGACCGTCTCCTTGCCTCTCTTATCCCGGACGGTTACGGGGACGACCTCTGCCGCGAACCGGCCGGACTGCCACGCGGCCTGCGCGCGCTCGTAGCTGCGGATCGCATAGTCGTCCTGCGCCTCGCGGCTGACCCCGTGCTTCTTGGCCGTCGTCTCCGCGCAGATCCCCATGTGGATCTGGTTGTACACGTCCCACAGCCCGTCCTTGATCAGCCCGTCCTCCAGTTTTATTTCGCCGAAGGGGGGCAGCTGCGCGCTCCGCGGCAGGTAGTACGGCACCCGCGACATGTTTTCCATCCCGCCGGCGATCTGCGCGCGAGAGAGCCCCAGCTGGATGTTCTGGGCCGCGAGTGCCACGGCTTTCAGGCCCGAGGCGCACACCTTGTTGATCGTTGTGCAGTCGAGGGAGGGCGGGAGGTCGGCGAAGATGGCCGCTTGGCGCGCGGGCGACTGCCCCATGTTGGCGGACAGGACGTTGCCCATGTATAGGTCGGTGAATTCGGGGATGGGGACCCCCGACTTGTGGACGGCGGCGCGGATGGCGGTTGCGCCGAGGTGGGGGGCGGAGATGGTGGCGAAGGGGCCGTTGAACTGGTTCAGCCTCGGTTAGTGTGGAAGAATGGAAAAAAAAGGGGGGGTTTGGGGGGTTCTCCCCCCATGCGCTTGAGGTTGGGGGATGAGGGTAGGGTGGGGTGGTGCTGGTAAAGAGGGGGGTATGGGGTCTCCCCCATGATCGTCAAGGGTGGATGGTGACTGAGGATTGTACAAGTAGGCAGATGGGATGCAGAAATGTAGGAACAAGAGCCCACCTTCGCAGTTGGCGTGCGAGCTGCACTCAGAATATAGGCTTCTTCGATCTGAGAGGGCCGGGTGGTGTGGAAGGCGCGCTGGAACTGAGGCCGTGCGGGGAGGGCCCGCATCGCACGAGTGGTGCGCTGCATGATGACAGGGCGGATGGATTACAAGCGAGAGAGAAAAGATAAATTTATGACAAAAGTATTATGATTGATGTAGGAGAGTGATTAGAGTGAGTGTAAGTGTAAGTCAAGAAAAAGCAGGGTGAGGGTCACTCCTCAGGTATATCCAGATATTAAATGAATGAAGTCCGCCTCCGCCCGCCTGTAGCCGCTGAGCCGCTGCCGAGGTAACCCCATCACGTGCGGGGTCACATGCGGGGTCGGCCTTTCCTCCGAATTCCTTCCAACACTTCAAACATAGGAAAACCACAACACAGATGACCGAACGAAAGACCGAAAGACATATGAAAACGTCCCACAAAACACCAACACCTGCAAAGCCAACATCCAAGCCAACTACCGCCATCGTCCCAACCTCGACCCTCCACTCCGATCGTCCTCGTCCGCAATCCGCTCATCGCCCGGAAACATCGGCCAACAATCCGTCATCGAAGCGCGCGTGCGCGGTCGGGCCCGTCGCTGCACCATGCGCGGACTCCTGACAGCCTCGTCGCTCCGACGCGCAAACGAGCTCTCCAATACCCGGGACCCTCGCTCCCTCAGATCCCGCCTCCCCTTCTGAATAATGCGCGGTCGTGCCTGTTGCAGCGTGTGCGATCGGGGCGCCGATGGCGTGGGTCGAGCCCGTGAGTCCAGACGCGTGGGATAAGGCGAGGCCGTACGAGGATGGACCGGATCTCTGGATGTCATGCGCCCACGGCTGGCGTGGGTGTCCAAGGAGCGACTGCGGCGGTTCATCGGGCGGATGGGGATCCTGCTGGGTGGGGGGCGCGTCGTGGTCGGGCGCGTGGGGCTGTCCTCGCCGGAACTGCCTGTCGTCGTGTCCTCCACCGGGCTATTCTCGCTCGAGCTGGGCGGGAGCTGCTCCAGATTCTCAGCGAAGTGGACATGGCGCGTCGGGGTCATGCTTCGACTGCTCTGGGGCGGAGAAGCAGTCCGGAGTCGCGGCATCCCTGGCGTGGAGCGCGTCTTGCGGATGGGCTCCCGCTCCGCCACGGGGGAGCGCGGGCGCGGGGGCCGGGTCCGTCGCGGGGGGATGGGTGGAACGGGTGAAATCACCCGGGCGGCTTGAAACCGGGGTTGGCGGATCTCCAACTCCACTGTCGGTCGGGCGGGTTGAGAGCGAGAACGAGGCCGGAATACCTGTTTAATGGCACGCGTCAGACGATTCTTCTGCGAAGGTCTCGGGCGATGTACCACTTCTGGATCCATCGTGATTGGAGATGTGGGTCGTCTGGGTTGAGTGACGAAGATCTGCTTGAACACTCGTGTCAGCCGTCTCCGTTTGGGAGGGATCGAGGGAAGTCCCACTGGTGACGGTGTGGCGGGTCGAGGCCGCCCTCGAGGCAGGCGTTCCTCGCGCAGAGCTCGCGCCCCTGGACGTGGAGCGGCAAAGTGAATCGCCGGTGGTGATCGCGAGGGCGTCGATCTGTACGAAGTCTTGGGTCGCATGGGCGACACCAGCTGGGGCTCAGGGCGACGGGGAGGGTCGACCACGACGGGCGTGCGTTGCCAGGGCCGGCCGCGCGGCCGCTGGGGTGGCAGCGGCCGCCTCAGTTCATCGTCCGACGAGTCCGGCTGCCGTCGGAGAAAGGGAAACCGAAATTTGAAGCTTCCACTACGTCTGCGGGTGAGTGGCCTCGGCATACCGTGCGGGTCGTCTAGGCCCCTCATATTCGTGTTTCCTGGCACCTCGCGGCAGTCTCGTTCGATACTGGTCCGCGTTTCTTTGCGGCAGAGTCTGATCCAGCCTCGGGGACAGCGCTTCACGTTGCGCTCGATGCGCCTAATCCCCCCCGGAAGGACTTCGATGGTTTCTCTGATATGGCACATGATTAGCAGAGACTCTCTCAGACCTGCCGTGTACTGGGATGGGTGATTACTCTATGACAGGTAGGTAATTCAAATGTGATGCTGATTGTTTCTAGCCGAAGGGCCGTAGGGCGGCCAGATATACTTGCCGGGGGCAGACTCGCAGATGAAACCTGCCCTCACAGACAAAGAACGCGCACCGGCATCGTAGAGCAGTGGGGACAATAGGCGTGGCCTCCGATCTCTTTGTGTAGACAGCGGCGTTGTCGCGACAAGGACAACGAGGGTGAGCGTGAAAGCAACCAACTCTTGTTGTTCAGTCCCGGGCGACATGTGGTAGGAGTCATGGGTTCACCGCGCCTGATAGAGAAAGGAGGAGCAGAACATACGAGGCATAGGTTGGTTCAGGTGGTTAGGAAATCAAAAGACAAAAGAGATAAAGAGTGGGTTCTCGTCCATAAACAAGGGGAAGAGTCAAAGACATTATATCTCCTGGCCCATCATCGAGCGCACATGGAACGGGAGATCACCGGATTCGAGCCCTGGGCTCTTTTTGTCTTCCTCTCCAGCCTTCGTGTGGCTGAGCAGGGTGAGTCGGAGTAGCTTCAGGTGTAGGTGTAGTAGGTGTGGTATAATAGGCACCAGACCATACCTATTCCAAGCTAGAGGGGAGTCATTCATGTCTACTTCGTATTGTGGGATTGTCGGTGAGTGCTCGGCATATTGCTGTAAGTACCAGCCTTACGAAAAAGGTAGTTAGTACTTACTTAGTACAGTAAGTAGGTAAGTTAGGGAATGATGGAAAAGGTGTAGTGCAGTGCAGTGCAAGTGGAGGTCAGGTCACCCGGGCTCTCTCTTTCTGACCCTCCTATCATCCAGCCCGAGTCACCCGGGCAATTGCAGTAACCAGATGACATGACATCACCAGCCTTTTTTGTTTCCTCTTTTGTTTCCCTTTTTTGTTTTTACGGTTCGTCTTATTTAATTATTTGGGCGGTGAGGGAATGACCAGGATACACACTAAGAAAATCACCTGCATTGCGTAGTACACCAGAAGAGCCTCCTCATTACACCTCTCGTGGTCTTATGGCTTGAGTGAAGATGGAAGAAGAACCTGCGGCCGGCCCTGCACAGGCTGCACCCGCGGCAGCCTGCAGCCACCAACAGGATCAATACCTAGACGCTTGATGGTTGGTTGGTTGGGATCGCTGGGTCCCTGACTCTTCTCCCCCGCAGTGTATACCGTCATACCCTAGCTAGTCAACTCCCTATAGAAACCCGCTAAGAATAAATTGGAAGAAAGAATTACCAGGCAGCGATTATGATCTTGCGTATACTGGATATAGTCCTTGCGGTAGGGTACTATAGGGGTCCGTTGTGCCTGACCTGGCCTGCCCTGCCCGAGCCACAGTTCGTATCGCAGCCACAGCCTCGTGGTGTGGCGCTTGGGGGATGGGACTCTGGCCAATCACCGATGGGGTTGGAGGGTTGTTGGATTGACGGGTTGTATGTGTGGGTAAATTGTAAGCAGCATGTTGGTTGCATGCCGGATCGGTCCGGTGCATACTACGACTTGTTCTTGCGGCTTTGGGTTGTTTGTGGGCTGTGGATGGTGGTGGTGGAGATGGATGGCGGGAGGATGAGGTGGTTATGGGAGGGAGGGGATGGCGCAGTCGCTGAGCCACGATCCTTCCATACTCACTAGTCTAAGGGTGATGACGGATGATTGGATTTTCTGCGAAGAGGAGTGAACACGGGTCCTTGGATGGGTAATCAAACAATGGCATTTTGAATGACTACACTACAGTTACTGAAGTACCCAGACCGATGCTAATTCTCCACATCCACCACCTGCCCCGTCCGCAACGCCCGTCCGATCGCGTCCACTACATCCAACGCCCGCAACGCCTCTGCCCCCGAACACACCGGCTCAACCTTCCCTTCCAACACCTCCACAAAATGCGCCAGTTGCAGCGCGAACGGCGTCTGCGTCGTGTCCACCGCCGCCCGCTCCACGGCCAACTCCTCGTTCCAGCTGCGCTGCGCGCGGCCCTCGTAGCTCCACAGCCGCATGTCCGGCACGCTCAGCGACCCCTTCTGTCCGAAGATCCGGTAGAACCCTTCCCCACCACCCCCCGAAACCTGCGGGATGAGCGGGTTCTCGCCGGTGCCGGCCTCGAAGCTCCACGGCGCCGGCGTGGCATCGCACACCAGGAAGGTGCCTACCACGCCGGAGGCGAACCGCAGGGTGATCGCGGCGCCTTCTTCGGCGTCGTGCGGGGGCGACGGCCGGGTGGAGGGCGTTTTCTCGGCGAAGACCCGCGTGATCGGGCCGAAGAGGTAGTGCAGTAGGTCGATATCGTGGATCAGGTTGATGGAGAGTACCCCGCCGCCTGTGGTGGTGCTGCGGCGCCAGTCGCCCGGCGGGGCGAAGTAGCTGTCGGGCTTGTATAGGGTCCAGAGGCCGTTGAGCGCGATGAGCGGGCCCAGGGCGTTGCTGGAGAGGAGCCGCTTCGTGGCGGTGATGTAGGGGTTGAAGCGGCGGTGGTGGCCGATGAGCAGTTTCGGGGATGACGGGGTGAGGGTTGACAGGAGGGTGCGGGCCGTTGCTGGGTCGTCGCTGATGGGCTTCTCCAGCAGCACGTGGATGCCCTGCGCCAGAAGGTCGGTGGCGATGGGGATATGTGTGTGGTTAGGGGTGCAGACGATGGCTGCGTCAGGACGCGGGGTGGAGGGGCTGGCGAGGAGGGCGGCCACGGAGGGGAAGTAGGCCGTCTGCAGGGTCTCGGCCGTTTGGACAGCGTTGGGGGAGGGGTCCACCAGGGCAAGGAGGTTGGTGTTGGGGTTGGCCTGGACGGTTTGGGCATGACGGGGGCCGATGAGGCCGGCCCCGACAATGATGATATTAAATGGCATACTGAAGGATTTAGGGATGTGGTTGTTCGGAGGCAGAGTTGCAGGGGCAGGGCAGCTGGGGAGCAGCTAGTTATACCTCGTCCACGCAGTTGGGTCCGGGGTAACCGATGGACCCCGGGGTGGGTCGTTCCATGACATGTCTGACTCACAGACCTTGGTGTCTCCGGATAATCGGATAGACATTGGGATAGACAGAGGCAGGGACGAGTCGCGTCTGGACCTGGTGGCTAAACGAGATCTGGGGATGAGCTCTTAGCCGGGGTGTACAGCATATACGTACTCGACCTTGGTTCTTGATGCAGGTGCAGTGGAGGGGTAGATCTTCGTTGTGATGATTGCAAATGGTATAATAATGATAGTATTAGAGAGCAATGACTAGTATGGACACCGAGGTTGTAGGAATCTCATGTATGAGTTACCAACCACTTTTGAAATGATGGTACGAAGCAGAAAGTAAAAAGAGAAGAAAGCAAGTGCCGAGAGCAGTCACCGACCCAGTCACCGACCCCGCAAAAGCCGGGCCCGCCAAACCGGCGCCGCCAAACCGGGGCCGCGAAACCGGGGCCGGGTCGGGACTGATGCCTCAGGCGCTCGGCCGGATGTTTGCACTGTTGCATTGTTTGACTATTGCTTTTGGTACCACGGAAAAGTCTTGGCTTCCCTCTTCAGAGTCTCCTCTTGGCATCGACACTGCCACTCTCCCTTTCCCTTTCCCTCTCCCGTCTGCAACCTTCCTAACTTCATTCAAGGGATGACAGTCCGGTCAGAATGCCCCTGATCGTTTCGTGGAGCAACCATCTGTTGATGTCTTTCACTACTTCATCTTTCACACCCGACTAAAAGACTGACGAGGCCGATCATGGCCGCGTCGACCCCGGATTTCCGCCCGGCGGACGACTCGGCCGCCCCGGCTGCGAAAGAATCCTCTTCCCTGAACTTCTTTACCACCAAGCTGGACTTTTTTGTCCATGCACCCAGCCTGGACGATCTCTGTGGTATCTACAACCCAGTGGTAGCTCTGCTCGAGACGGGCATCCATAATGGCCTCTGGTGGCTGGACGTGACCGCCGCCTCCGATGAGGACATCGAGACCCTCGCGCGGAGCTTCGGTCTCCACCCGCTGACCGTCGAGGACATCACGCAGCGTGAGACACGCGAAAAGATCGAGCTCTTCGACTCCTATTACTTCCTCTCATTGCGACCCCCCAGTTCCCGCAAGACCGACGACGGCGTGTGCATCGTCTCCCACAACCTTTACGCTGTCGTCTTCCCGGAGGGGGTGCTCAGTTTCAACTTCGGGACCAGCTTGCACGCTGACCACGTCCGGAATCGTATCAAGGAACACCGGAGCCATTTGGCGTTGACCAGCGATTGGATTTGCTATGCTATCATGTACGACCCCCTCCCCGTATTTCCCTTCTTCAACGCTAACTCTACTTTCCTAGTGACGCGATTGTCGACGGCTTTGCCCCGTTCATCGCTCGCGTGGAGACCGGTGTCGACCTGATGGAAGATCACATTGCCGTGACCCGCCCGGACGAGATTGGACTGGCTTTGCGGCAGATCTACAAGTGGCGCAAGGAGGTGATTCAGATCCGACAGCTGCTGCATGACAAGACGGATGTGATCCGGTGTTTTGCACGCCACTGTGATGCGCTGGCGGCTACATCGACCCAGGTGGCTCTGTATCTCAGTGATATCCGCGACCACGTGCTGACCATGATGGCCAATCTGGAGCAGGCGGAGCAGATGCTCTCGCGGTCGCAGTCGAAGTATCTGTCGCAGCTGCACTTCGACTCCGGGCGCATGCGCAATGAAATCGCCACGGCGCTGAGTCGATTGACCGTCGTGGCGGCGACGATCGTGCCGATGCAGTTTATCACAGGGCTTTTTGGGATGAACGTCATGGTGCCTGGCAAGTCGCCTGGCGGCCTGGCGTGGTGGTATGGGATTCTTGGGGTTATTTTGGGTTTGATTGTGCTGTTTCTCCTTGTGGCTAAGAGAATGAGGTTGTTTGATCGATAATCTACCGGAGAATAGCAAGCTACGACAGCTATCCACACCCGATGCATTGACCAGCCTGCAACCGCCTAATCCTTCCTCAGAACCGCCTCTACCAACTCCGCCTGTCGTGCCAGCACCTCTTCCCTCAGCCGCCGTCCGACCAACTGCACATGACAAGGCGCACCTTCCACTTCCTCCGGCCGATCTGCATCCCATCAGTTGGAGTGTCATCGTGGTGGATGGAACACTTACAAGGGGGTCGATATACTGCATCCTGTCTGAACCATTCCCGATCCGCAGCAGCATCTGACCTGCCGAACGGCAGCACGCAGCTCGGACTCTGTACGCGATCAGCACCCAATCCCCCTCGTGCCAGGACAAGGATGTCAGAGTAGAACATACATCCACCAAGTTCCAAAACACTGTATACCACACATGACTATACGTATCATGCGGCAGGGCGCAGCTCTGGTACGCCGGCGCCAGGATCACATCCAGCTTCTTCTCCACGAACACCCGGCGCGTCTGCGCAGTGATCTCCGCCTTCCGGGCAGTCAGCCTGAACAGATCACGCAGGGTCGGCGCTGGGTTCGTCGTGTTGGATCCATTGACAATGCTCACGGACGGAACGTGCGGCTCCCCCGCTGCATCCAGATGCGATATCGCGGTCCGGTCGGCGTCGAGGCCGAACAGCCCGAAGGCGATCTCATTCCCATCCTCCATGTCCGGGAACTGCGTAGTAATATCCACAATCTCGTGGCCCGCAGCAGCGAGCTTCTCGGCCGCCCGATGAAGGTTCCGCGCGATGTTGGGGTGCAGCGGCAGACCCGGGTGCGCCGTGAACAGCCCGATGCGCAGCTTCTCGCCTTCGTTTTGGTCGGACACAGCCCACGGTATGCCCAACGCGGTATCATCGAAGTCATAAGGAGGCACATCGCAGACGGTCCTCATGAACAGATTCGCATCGCGGACGGAGTGACAGATGGGCCCGATCACCGGGGAAATCCCGGAAAGATACCCCGCGACGCCGGGACTCATCACCGCGGCGTGGGGCACGCGCCCCATCGAGGGCTTGAACCCGACCAAGCCACAGCAGTGCGCGGGGATGCGGATCGAGCCCGCGATGTCGGTGGCGACGCCCAGCAGCGATCCGCGCAGGGCGACGAGGGCGCCCTCGCCGCCCGAGCTGCCGCCGGCGGTCAGCGTGCGGCGGTGCGGGTTGAGCACGCGCCCGAAGACGTTGTTATGCGAGTCGGCGGTCATCAGCGTCTGCGGGACGTTGGTCTTGACGTAGATCACGGCGCCGGCGGCGAGCAGCACGTCGATCAGCGGCGTGTTGGTCTTTTGGGCGGGTCGGTCCAGGAATGCGACGTAGCCCAGCGTCGAGGCCACCCCGGCCACGTGGAACATGTCCTTCACGCTGACGGGCAGCCCGTGCAACGGGCCGACGGGCTGGCCGGTTGTTGCGAGGTGTCTGTCTAGCTCCTGTGCGCGGGCGTGCGCTTGGTCGAACATCGTCTCCGTCAGGCAGTTGGTTAGTTGCTGCGCGATGGCGGCGCGCTTGCTGAAGGCTGTTGTCACTTCGACGGCGGTGTAGGTCCCGTCTGCCAGCTGGGCGAGGAGCGTCGTGGCGTCTGCGGTCTCGGTGATGGCCAGCTCGCGCGAGGTCAGGAGCCCGCTGTCACGCGGGATGGAGAGGACATTCTCGGGGGAGATGGGGGAGGCGGTGGCTAGGAGGGCGGCGGGGAGGCGCCATCCGGCGGGGATCTTGGCCAGTGCTTCGAATTGCTTGGCTTGGACTTTTTCTTGCCAGGTTGGGATAGTCATGGTGTGTTGTTTTTGTGGTTCTGAATGTGTAAATATGAGGTTTAAGATGGGGAGGGGAGTAGGTGTAAATGCAGTACTGTGGTTGGGAAGGATGAACAGGGTAGGGTGAATGGCGTGCGGGGTGAAGAGGGGTTGAGCTGATCGTCGGCGAGACGGCCAATGCGAGGGTGATGTCACCTAGCGTCGAGGGGTATTGACATGAGTTGACTCTGGAATCAATCTCTGCAGACTAGCCTTATCCTTTTATATCCTTTTTGCAGAGTAGCGATCAACTTGGAATGAGGTGGATGTCTGCTTGTGAACGAAGTACACGGAGCAGGCATATGTGCATTCACATGCCCAGATGAGTAATTATGCACAGCTTGTGAATGAACCTTTCTACTTTATTTCAACCATGTGCTCGGTTGCGCTTAGCAGTGCATTTGGACCGTCTTCTTTATCTTTGTATTTGTATTAGCCTTTATTTGTTATATTAAAACTATAATCTTTAGCAGTCTTTGGGCTGACGGATAAAAAAAAAATAAAGTCCAGAACAGTCTCCAAGTCGTAGATTCTCGTGCATCGTCCACGCCCTTATCATGACATGCTCCACTTTTCCAATTTTGCACCCCAGACCCAGGTTTCCGGGTGGGCCACCGAGGGTAACCGACGAGATGTGAATCATCGCAAGACTTTTTGTACATTCTTTTAACCTCTGAGTTTCTCTTCTTTATCACCGAAGTGCTACCACACTCAAATCAACTTCATCCGGTGGCCGCACAATACCTCAGGCAGCCACCACCACAACCCTCACCTACACCTACACCTACACCTACACCTACACCTACACCTACACCTACACCTACACCTACACCTACACCTACAACACCATACTCCCCAGCCCGGCAAAATGGCCACAACCTCAACCTCGACAGCCGTAGAATGGCAGACGGCCCCCGCGATCGAGCTGGAGTCGCGCGCGCCCAAACTCCCGCCCGCGGCCCCGACCTCCGCCACCGACGCGGTCATGCAAGCGTCCGCGCAGGCGGACGCCGAGGTCCCCGACGGCGGACGCGGGTGGCTCGTGATCGGGGCGTGCGCGGTGCTGACGTGGTGGGTGATCGGGACCTCGTACTGCTGGGGAGTGCTGCAGGCGGCGCTGGTGGGGGAGCGGGTGGCAGCGGCGTCGACACTGGCGTTCGTGGGGTCGCTGGCGACAGCCTGCATCTCGTTTTTGGGGATCGCCAACGCGCAGCTGATCCGGCGGCTGGGCACGCAGACCAGCGCGATGCTGGGGGTGTTTTGCTTGGGGCTGGGGTCGATTCTCAGCGGGTTCTCGTACCGCAGTGTGGCGGGGTTGTTTGTCACGCAGGGGGTCGTGTTTGGGGTGGGGATTAGGTTGGTGCTCCATCTTTGACAAAATGAAATGAAATGTATGGCGATGGCGATGGCGATAGCGATGGCTGATACGTCTTAGTATGTGTTTTATGGTCGTCTCGACGATCCCCGCGCAGTACTTCAAGGCCAAGCGCGGCACTGCCAACGGCATCGTCTACGCGGCCGGCGGCCTCGGCGGCACCGCGCTCAGCTTCCTCATCAACGCCCTGCTCAATAGCGTCGGCACCGCCTGGACCTTCCGAGTGATCGGCTTCATGACCTTGGCCACAGGGCTGCCCGCCGCGTGGCTGGTGCAGCAGCGCGTTCCCATCCCACGGGCTGCCTTTGTCGAGTGGTGAGAACCCCCTTTCCCCCTACCCCTAACCAACTCTCAGCAAATCTAATGCTTGAATGTATCGTAGGCGCCTCTTCCGCGACCTCCGCTTCTGCCTCCTCTTCGCCGTCGGCGCCATCGCCACCTTCCCCCTGCTGGTGCCCCCCTTCTTCCTGCCCCTCTATGTCAACGCCCTGGGCATGGGCTCCACGGCCGGCGCCGGCGTCGTCGCCGCCTTCAACTTCTCCTCCGCCCTGGGCCGCCTCACCTGCGGCTTCGCCAGCGACACCATCGGCCCGTTGAACACGTTGTTCGCCTCGCTGCTGCTCTCCGCCCTGAGCATGTTGATCATCTGGCCCGTGTCGACGTCTATCGGCCCGCTCATCGTCTTTGTGGTCATCAATGGCATGTCGAACGGGGGATTCTTCTCGACGATCCCCACGGTGGTCGGGAATGTGTTTGGGTCCGCGCGCGTGGGCGTCGCGATGGGGATGATTGTTACCGGCTGGGCCGGGGGGTATCTTCTTGTGAGTGTTTCTCTTCTTCCAGCGGAAGGGGGGTTGAGAGCTTGTGAGGGATGAGAGGTGTACTGACAGTGGGGCAGGGCTCGCCGATTGCAGGATACATCCTCGATGCGTCCGGGGGTGAAGGGGCAGGCACGAAGGCGTATCGGCCGGCCATTCTGTACGCGGGGTTCATGGCGCTGGCGGCGACGGCGCTGTCATTGGGGATTCGGGTGAAGACGAGCGCGAAGTTGGGGAAGAGGGTTTAAATCCGGGGGTAGGATGAAACCCAGAGCTAAATCTACAGACAGCTAGATATTTACTTAAAACAGCATGCAATAGACATCTTTCACTTTCACAACCATGTAATAAATCTTATTCACAGGCACTGTAATGTCGATCTAGACGAATCACTCCGGAATCCGATGCTCCTCCGCCGCCACCCCAGCACGCCACCGATACTTGGCGGCGGGATGATCCTGCGGCGGCCCCGTCTGGCCCCTCCGGCCGTACAGGTTCTCGCGATACGTGCCCCGCGGCACCGCGTAGTCCTCCCAGAAGAGACCCCGTTTCCGCAGCTCCGGCAGCAGCAGGTCGATGATATCCTTGAACGAGCCGGGTTTGATGGCGTATGCCTGGTGCTGTCAGCCTTTTCTATCCCTACCCCTACCCCTACCCTTACCCCCTGACCGAGAACCCACGGAGGAGTAAACGCAAGCAAGACCTACCAAATTAAACCCATCGACATCCGCCTCGGCGACCCACCGCTCCATCTCATCGGCCACCTGCGCCGGCGTGCCGACGGGCGTCGCCCCCAGCCCGCCGACGGTGATATGGCGGCCGACGGTGGCCTTGGTCCACTTGGCCACTTCGGGGGTGGCTTTCGACCAGCCCTCCACGGCGGAGCTGCACACACACACACAGGCCATCATCAGCATCGCCTCCCAATCCAGCAAATTTCAAAAGGAGGAATATACCGAATAGCATTACTCTGCAGCCCGCGCAACTCCTCCTCCTCGCCATACCGACTCAAATCAATGCCCGTCCACCCGCCAAACAGCGCCAGCGCGCCTTCCACATCCCCGTAGCCCTGGTACTCTCTGAACTTGGCGCGGGCCTCTGCCTCCGTCGCCCCGAGGACGGGACACAGCAGGGCCAGGAACTTGATGCTCGTGCCGTCGCGCCCGAACCGCGCAGCGGCCAGCGCCCGGATCTCGGCGATGTTGTCCCTGACGACGGAGGGCGAGTGGCCCGCCACGAAGATCGCCTCCGCGTGCTGCGCCGCGAACAGCTTGCCGGATTGGGACGTCCCCGCTTGCAGGATGACGGGCGTGCGCTGCGGCGACGGCTGGCAGAGGTGCGGCCCAGGCACGGTGAAGTTCGGGCCCGTGTGGTCGATGGGCCGGACCAGCGCCGGCGCGGTGTAGATCCCCGTCGTCCGGGAGAGTTGCACCGCGTCGTCGCGCCAGGAGGATTCCCACAGTTTGTAGGTCACGCGCAGGTATTCTTCTGCTGTGGCGTAGCGGGTGTCGTGCTGGACTTTGTTAGTGTCTGGGGCCGAGGGGGGGTGGGGTGGGGTTGGATTGAGGTTCGGGGGCTAGGGCTACCTGGGGCTGTTCGGTGAGCCCTAAGTTGCGGGCGGCCGAGTCGAGGTACCCTGTTACTACCTATTTCTCTTCTCATTAGATGCTTTTTCCTTGGGCAGAAGGAGAAGGAGATGAGGAGATCGGGGAGTGCGTACATTCCACCCGACACTACTCAACCCCGTTAGCTATGAACGTAAACACCCCGGAATGACTGCAGAGAGCAACTTAAGGAGATCCTACCGCCCCTTGGTCAAATGATCCACCGTCGACAGCCGCCGCGCCAGGTGATACGGCTGCTCGTACGTCGTCGCCACCGTCACCCCGAACCCGATGCTCTTCGTCACCGCCGCCATCGCCGGCACGACCGCCAGCGGCTCGTTGACCGGCCACTGCGCGCCCGAGGCGATCGCCGGCCCCAGATTGCGGGGGCCCTTGTACACGTCGTAGCCGCCTGTCGCTTTCTCAGCATTCGACAACCCAACTTTCTAGAAAGGAAACTTGCAAGAAAGGGGAGGGGGGGGGGGCTACCAAGCACATCTGCGATAAAGATTCCGTGGAACTTGGCCGCCTCCAGCAGCTGCGCCAGCTCCGTCCAATGCTCGATTTCGTTGAAGCGGTGCGATTCGTCCTCGGGGTGGCGCCACAGGCCTGGCGATTGGTGGCCGCTGCCTTTTGGGAGTCAGCTTCGCTTCAAGAGGTAGGGGATAGAAGAGAAGAGGAGAGGCTTACACATCTCAACGAAGGCGTTGAGGATGAGGGATTTGCGCGGGCGCGCGGGCTCGGTGGACGTCATTGTGGCGGGTAGGTTATGGTGAGAAGAGTAATGTCAATATCCAAAGTCAGGTCGTGAGGTTGCAGCGAGAAGCGATCCTTTCGAGTCCTTTATAGTGTTTGGCGTTGTCGCGGTTGATCTGCGTGCGTAGCATCAATGTGGGCCGGGATGGCGTGATAACGAGGGGGAGTAGGGGTCATTCCCGGCTCTGGGGTACAGTTTGGTGGGTAGATGTCGGGCGATAGATCGACTTTTACTGTACCTAAGACCAAGATATCTACCCGAGAGCAATGCTCAATAAGATCAGGGAATGTATTGGATAGCTTAGTGGATGCAGTGATTAGGGCTGAGCTTCCGCTGGGCTGCGACCAATGCATTGCCCTACTTTTGGGTCGATGCCGCCAGCGCGCGGCCTCGTCACGCAATGCCCCTCCAACAATTTGGCTGCATTGCGCGCAGGTACAGCTCCATGTCGGCCGAGAGATCACTGTAGCTCAACTTTGGATCGCCAGAGCACCTAATGTGAATATTTGATTGTATAACAAGCTTGCTGATCACGCTAAGAGGGTGCACAACGTGCATCTGGCCGGCTTCAAGGGCCGTGGCGCTATTTCACTAACCTCCAGTTTTCTTGCCATGATGCCGACTTCTATACCTCGGAACCATGCTAGGAATTTCATATGGTTGAAAGAAACAACAATTATTCATATAGAGGGTCTGTCTGGAGAGGGTGGTGACTATAGCCACAGGTGAACCATGCTTCCACCTCCAAGACACCACCAAGTCACCTTCAGCGCAGACTCTCGGGCAATCTCTTGTTGCACAGCATTCTACAATGCAGTAATACGGCTCATATAAGAGGGGGGAAAACACCCTGTATGGAAGAGAATGCCAAAGTTTCAGTATAGCAAGTTTCAGGACAAACACTTGATCCGGCTGATGATGTAATGATCCTGTGGTTGAGTCCCAAAACAATCTATGTGATCGGAAAAATAACTCGGTCTCATCCCAAGCAGTTCTTACTGTAAAAATCAGGTTGCCTGAGAAGTTAGTGAAGGGAGGTGTTATCTCTAAACTTTGTATTAATTTACGTCTGCTGTTGAAAAAGGTCGCGATGTTTGGTAGCCTAACACTAGCTTCCATTGAAAACTGTCAACCCTTAAAGAAAAAAAGAAAAGATATAAACAAGATCCACTAAAGTTGCCGCTATAAGCAGAAAGCACATTTATAACTCTAAATATCTAAACTCAGTGAGTATCCGGGCTCACACCACAACTCCTAGTCAGTGATTCACAGCTAGACTCGTATGTACACTCAGGCTCATTTATATTCACAAATGGCACGTGAACAGACTCAGGGCGCACAGCGGAAGGGCACCCAGAACAGCCCCCACAGATAAATACAGATTCTCAAACATCATTGGGCATTCCGTATCCTCCAAGCTTGACGCAGGGGACTATTCAACACCGGCCCTGCTTAGCGCAACGCTATCACATATTAGGGAGCCCTTAGCCTAATCGGGGGCATCACTAAGCCCCGATCCCCGACCCCACTTTTGCCGAGTCGGCCCTGCTTCTTTCCATCCCTCCAATCAGTTGTTGCTATATCACCGACATCGTCCTTTGGGGCTTCAAGTGCCCAGTAGCATGTAAGATTTCTCCACCGTTCATCTACTACGCCCAGGGCTTGTTCCTGCTAGTCTGTGTGATGGTTGGCCAACACAGCTTGTTACCCCTTTCTACTACCGAGTAGTCAACGCTCCTATTTCAAATTTAAATACTAACCGTTCCTCCTACTTTTGAACACACCCACTTCTCAACCCTACCTGCAGATTACGCTTACCACAAGTAAAAAATGAAGGCCATTCATCTCTGGGTCGCAACCGCCCTAATGGTACCACGGGCTCTAGCGGCCACTGCTACCTCCACTACCTCTACGTCCACCACCTCCACTGCCGCCGCCGCAAGCTGTACAGCTTCCCTCATCACGACTCTGTGCAGCTACCCGGAACCCGGCGACGACTTTGCCGTCGCCAGCGAGAGCACGGCCGACTGCTGGGATTACTGCAACGCCCACCCTCCGTGCAGCTTTGTGATCTTCGCCGCTGGCAACCCTACCACCGGAACCGGCACGTGCTGGCTGTACCCGGGGCAATCCTACAACGCGAGCGAAGGCAGTTCCGATTGCAGCAGCCCCTACCTGTCCGTCTACGACGAACCCGTGTGTTCGGGCGGGAGCGCAACCACCACCACGGCTGGCGCCTGCGCCGCCACCGCGACTCCCACCGCTGTCGCCTCGGGCTGCGGGTACCCGGCGCCCAGCGACTGCTTTGACGACTGTGTGACCAGTACCGGTGCACCGGACTGCTTGAGTCTATGTGCCGAGGCCGATTCCTGCAGCTACGTTGTCTTCAACCCGGAGAATGCGGACAACTCGACCTATGCCGCGGGCAACTGCTGGATCTACCCGAACGGGACCTACGACGCCGGGTCTGCGACTACTTGCAGCGGTGATCCGGAGCAGTACGTGTACAACAACGTGTGTCCCAAGGCGTCGTCTTCATCGTCCGCGCTTTCGTCATCTGCTACGGGCACTGGAACTGTAGCTACGACTACAGGCTCTACGGGTACCGAAATCGCCGATCAAACTGCGGCCTCGTCTACCAGCAGCGAGAATTCTGCGTCTGCCGGCCTCTCGCATACTAGTCCACTGGCGATAGGCATGGCAATGGTAGTATTGCAGGCCTTTTGGTGAGATTCTTGTGGTAATGGGTGGTTGTTCGGCGAAGCAATGTATGATATAAGGAGCTGCTAGAGTCCTCGAGTAAACTGCCTAGGACAATGAGAGAATTGTGGTATGCTAATCTGTATTCTTCTACTGCACCCAGGTCAACTGGCCGGGTCAAGACTGCCACCTGAATCCGGACGCATCAAACACGCTGCATCTGCCGTTATGGTATCCGAAGCCTCGTCTTGTGGATCCGGTACTACCTGTAGCATTTTGTGGCTAGATGGAGTGGCAATTCTTGCACATTATACGAGCACCAACCTAGCAAGCATGAGACAAAGTTTCGCAGTGCGCAATGGCATCACAGACTCGGTAACATGTATCCAAGTTCAGTCACGCGACTGGCAATCAACCCTCAAGTTCATTTTGCTTTTGGTGTTCTTCGACCATAGGTTATTGCGCCACCCGGAGGATAACATCTCCGCCGACGCCAAGTCTGCGTTCAGACCCGGAACTCTGTGGTGCCATCAGGGCTCGGTTGGACATCTGACCGCGCTAGCTGACTTCTCGAGAGGGTTGGAGCCTACAACCTCAAAACCGGCGGTTTGACCACTCCATCGTGGATCGCCGTTGTTGGACAAGCTTAGGGCCATTGATCTTTCCATCTCTAATTTTGTTTACACAAAATACCCGGATACAAAGATATATCTCACAAATCAAGGCCTCAAGCATCAGCTTGTGCCAATTCCGTGCTGATATTCACATATTCACATCGGAAGTAGCAGCTTGTTGTCCAGCTCAGGCAAATGTAATCCACGAATAGCACTGGCCCAGCATCGACAAGAAGGTTTTCACCCCCGTGCCAGCCAAGCATCCAAGCGATGCCAAGGCTCACCGTCTCGTATTGCCTTGCATGCCAGAGGATGTCCCGGCACGTGGCGTATACCCGGACTAAGTCTCCCCCGGAATTCTGGGCCTCCCCGCGTTTCTGCGGGGATTGCGGGGGAAATCTGGGGTGACAGCTGCGACAATTCGACGGCGGAGACACCCATGTTGACGGGTTCTTCGTCGACCCTGAGATTGTCTACGGTGTTTCCTTCACCGGTGGAGATGCGCAAGACATGGGTATAAATCGGTAGTCAGGCCTTGCAGGTCTACTACTGCAATGCACTCCTCTCCTTGACCTCCTCAATCAGAACCAACCCACTCATGGAAAGATAGCGATGGCCGCGCAAACCTCAGAGAAGACCGATCTCGCCCTCCAGGTGCAGAAGGCCAGCAACGTGCACGTGGAAGACATCCAGTCCTCTGAGCTTCTCAATGCAAAGGGGGGCGATTACTCGGGAGCCACAGCAAAGACCGATGAAGTGGAAATCCGTCTCGTCCGCAAGCTGGACCTGCGAATCATGCCCATCCTGTGGATGATGTATTTTCTGAATTATGTTGGTGATCGACTACAATACCAGTATGGTCCTCACTAACCAATCATCCAGCTGGACCGCAATGCCATTGCCAACGCGCGTCTCAACAACCTCGAGGAAAACCTCCATCTGGTCGGGACGCAATACAACACCTGCATCTCGATCCTGTTCATCGGGTAGGTGAAGCATATCCCACGCCCACAGCACCCTCCCACTGACTACAGCCAGCTACCTGCTCATGCAGATCCCCTCGAACATGTTCATGTCCTCCCCCAAGATCCGCCCCTCGCTCTTCATGAGCGTCTGCATGGCCAGCTGGGCGATCGTCTCCGCCCTCACAGCCCTCACCAAGAACTACGTCTCGCTGGTCCTGGTCCGGTTCTTCCTCGGCGTGACGGAGGCCCCCTTCTACCCCGGGGCACTCTTCCTGCTGTCACTGTTCTACACGCGCAAGGAGATCGCCCTGCGCATCTCCATCCTGTACACGGGGAACATCGTGGCGACCGCGGTAGCGGGCCTCATCGCGGCCGCGACCTTCGCCGCTCTCGACCAGAAACACCACCTGAAGGGCTGGCAATGGCTCTTTATCATCGAAGGGGTGGTCACCTTCTTCATCGCGGCCCTGGGCCTCCTCATGCTCCCCGACCACCCCCTCACTACGCGGTGGCTCACCCCAGCCGAGCGCCAGCTCGCCCACGACCGCATCACGCGCGACACCGTCGCCCACGCTGCCCCCGGGCCCGAAACCAGCCGCACCTGGACGGCCCTCCGCGATGCCCTCCGCGACCCCCGCCTCTACCTCCTGGCGTTCATGCAGAACATGCACCTCAGCGCATGCAGCTTCAACAACTTCTTTCCCACGGTGGTCGGCAGCCTGGGCTTCGACCGCACGATGACCCTCGTGCTGACCTGCCCGCCCTACCTCGTTTCCGGCGTATGCAGTGTCATCATCGGGATGACATCAGGCCGCTACAACGAGCGCACCTGGCACATCACGGGGAGCATGGGGCTCGCGGTGATCGGATTCGTGATCGCGTGTCTGACGCTCAACACGGCCGCGCGGTATCTGGCCTGCTTTCTGTTCGCGAGCGGCGCGTACGCGGTCAACTCGGTGATCCTGGGGTGGGTGTCGGCGACGCTGGGCCAGACCCCCCAGAAGAAGGCGGCCTCGCTGTCCGTGGTCAATGTCGTGGCCAATGCGTCGTATGTCTACACCGCGTATCTGTATCCGAAGAGCGACGGGCCGCGGTACCTGGTGGCCATGTCGGCGAATGCGGCGTTCGGGGTACTCACGATTGCGAGCGCGTGGGGGTTGCGGGGGTGGCTGCGGCGGACGAATCGCGCGATTCGCGAGGGGAGGGTGCCGGGCGGGGATGAGCGGGTGTTGTATGCTTATTAGGTCTTTTTGGATGTCTGCACTCAGGGTAGTTTTGGGGAGAATGGAGGGTTGTGTTGTGAATGTGTGCGGTGGTAGTCTGAGCTTATGTTTGAATGTCATTTCTTTCCTTAAGACAACACCATATCCTTCACGATAAGGAGCGACATTAGATCCAGTGGAGATAGATACAAAAAATTTCCAAGAGAATTCCCACTCGCAAATACTTCGGGCCTCACTTTTCCTCCCAAGAGTGTCTCCCCGTAGCACGATATGATTAAGCACTATACCGTCCACTCCAATTAAATAAAAACACAACAAGATAATCGCCTATCCCTCCCCAACCTGTATAAAGAGCGGTTGCTTCGGCTCGTACATTTCAAGAGCATACAGAAGCCCTCCTACACCTTCGTAGCGCGACCAGAGAGCCTCAGCTCAATATCGAAGCCCTAGATCACGCACTCAACCGTCGATCCATCTAAGCACGAACCATTAGCCCAGCCCAATCCAGTCCAGTCCAGTCCCATCCACCTCTCCTCCCTCTATCATCCCCATCAACCCAAACCAGAAAAGATGAAGAACATACCGCACCGCCTGGGCTTATCCTCATCCTTAACCCATCCCCGGGGCGTCTTGAACCACTTGCCGGACTCCTCGCCGTTCCTGTCCCGAATCCAATCATCAGCAATCGCAATCCCAACCACCTCAAGTTCAACCTCAATAGACGTCAAAGGAGGGGGCCATACTCATAGTAACAGAACGAAGTAAACGTCGCCCCGAGAATGGACGTTCCGTTCTCCGGGCTCGACGCGCAAGGGAACTTGTAGTAGGGGTAGGACACGCGGACCTGGCAGGGGTTGGCTTCCTTGCCTCCGCCACTGCCGCGGGCCGTGAGGCTGCTGCTGTCTTCCGCCGGGGCGGCGGTTGCGGCGTTCAGGGCGAGCGGGAGGAGGACGATGGCGGAGAGTGGGGATTTCATGACGCAAGGAAGAAAGTGACTTGTGCTGAGATCGGAGTAGAGTGTATATGTGTTGTGGAATTGTGTGCTGGTATCTGCTCGGATGTCGTTGTTTCAGTTTGGCGTGGGTTGGGGGGGTTTTTATAGATCTGGCAGCATACTGTGAAGAACAGCTTCAGGGTCTAGATTCGATACTAGGATGCGGGCATCATCATCATCATCAGTCTACACAGCCTCCTGGCCAGCCCAGGGCTGCACCTCTCCTAAGCCATGGGAACTGTCATCTAGTGAGGTGATTTGGGCAGATCCATAGTTTCGAGTGATGCGTGCTCGGGTCTTGGCGATGGGCGGATGGCAAAAAAATAGGGTTATGACATGTTGCAGATCCGCGACCGAGTACGCCCGCCGGGCGGTAGTCTGGGCCATCGGGGTGGGATGCTTGGCGTATGTTGGTATGTTCCACAAAAAGAGGTAACCTCGAGATCTAGATCGGTCTGGATTGCGTCTCTTGGCGATGCGAAAGACTGGGTAGCCTCCTATCTTTCACCTTTCACTGATGCAATATGTCATCTTGGCGTGGTCATATAGTGATCACTAAATGTGGCAACTACTATTTGACTGATGATACTCCGCATTCCCTATTTAGTAGTTTGATGTGTTTGAGAATCATCTACCTGCTGCATGTCTCCTCAGTATTCATCCACCTATACCTCCCAACTAGACCAGCTATGATCCCAAGACCACAAGTGCATTCTCTTACACACCCACTACACATCTCCACCCCTCCCCATCCACCGCCCCTTGACCCTCTGCGTAAACGCCACAAACTTGGCCACGCCCACCGCCGCCTCCACATGGCCCTCCGGATCCTCGACCTCCTCCGGAAACGCGATCCCCGTGCCATACAGCCCTTTGACCTCGTCATTCTCTTCCCACCCCCGGACCCGAAACCCCGACGACCGCATATCAAACTCCAGACTCCCATCCACCCTGCTCCCCTCCACATACACCCTCGGAATCGGGCCGCGCTCATACCCCACCGCCCACACCACATGCGTACACCGCGGCAACCACTCCCGGAACGCGGCCTCCTCATCCTCGCCATCGTCGACGAACCGCACGATCTCCGGATCCGGGGAGCGCTCCAACACCTCGCGGGCCCATTCCGCCGTCGCGCCTTTCAGGCCAGTGTTGTCGAAGATGATGCCGTCGTCGGTGTAGATGGCGTATTTGATGGGGCGGCGGTGGAAGTTGAGGATTGTGATGGCGCGGTGGGCGGGGCTCGACTGCGCGAGCTCGTAGAGGTTGCGCACGACGAGGATGCCGGAGTGGGAGTTGCCGATTACGGCGATGGTAGAGGGTTGGTTGCCGGGGAGGAGGGATGGGAGGAGCGAGCGGCGCATGCAGGTGTCCAGGTCTAGTTGGTGGAGGTTGGGGTTGTATTTTTGGTGGGTGGTGGGGGTGCGCGGCTGCGAGCCGGTGCTGAGGATCGTGCGGGTGGTCTTGATCGGGCTGGGTGAGGCGGGGGTGGTCTTTAGGGTCCAGATGTTCTTCTGGGGTTGAGGTTAGCTTTGCTGTGGGTTCTTGCTTGGGGAATAGAATGGGTGAGAATGAAAGGGGTTGACAGGAAGGGGGGGGCCCACGTCAAGATGCGCTTCCTCGACTGTAGCAGTCAGTTTCTCGACCTCCGGGCGCGCGAGCAATCCCTCGATCAGCATGCAGATCATGTCGCCGGCGACGCTGAGCTGGCAGGTGGAATTGTGGTCTATGGCTTCGAGGGCTGTGACTGCGTTGGGCGACGGGGTGGAGTCGGTGATTGAGCGCAGGGCTTGGGAGGAGTTGATGGCTTTCAGGTAGATTGCGACGGTCGTATTTCTGGGTGTTCGTTAGCAGAATGAACACACGTCCGATACTCGGTATGGTGGGAAGATCTTACGACGAAATCTCCCGGTACAGGCTGTTCAATCGTCCTCCTTGCCAGGCTGGGTCGATCCAGAGGATCTTTTGAGCTCCCGCGTCGAGCGAGGCTGCTACGGCGGCCATGCCCCCGGGACCGGCGCCTACGACGACGGCGTCGTATGTGGTTGCCATATTGGAGGTGTCGAGTCTTCAAATTTGACCTAAGAAGCTATGTGAAGACTGTACCGATGGAGCGATTCCTGCTTTTTTCGTCTATGCAGAGGTAATTTGCCGCGAGTGATATTATGACATCATCGGGGGTTGTTCGAAGGTTGCGGAGAGACTCTCTTGGCACAACACAGAACACATAAACTCTAGTGTTACAAATATTGAGCTGAGCTCTGACACATATGGGTCATAATGCTACTATCCCACATACATATATTGCTTACGACTAGACCTTATGGGGCCAATGATTGATATGCAGCAGCTGTAACAGTTAACGGGAATGCCTGCTGTCTTTGTCCGATCTCCGACCACTCCAGCTGCTCCCACGGTACAGTACAATCCATGACGGAGGTGTGCCTGTTGTGTACATATTCATCAAACACCTGCTTGCCCACCTCAGTCCAAATGCTCTACCCAGTCATCATAGGATTCGAGAACATATGTGGGAATGTTGCACAAGCATTCCCCTGAAAATAAGGCCGCTGCGATACCCTTGTGAGAGGCGGGCACCGGCCTTGGTTCCCCGATTCGGATCAATCAGATAAGCCTCGGGGATAAGATGTGGGGTCAGCCTCAGCCCACTGCACAGCCCACAGCCCACTCATCCCACCAAACTTCTTCATCTCCTCTGCCAAACATTATCCCCAATAAGACACCCCCTTGGCGCCAAGCACACATACACCATGGCTGAATCCAACGTGCAGAAAGACAAACCCGCCGAGCAGTACAGCTGGTACCAGCCCGACCTCGCGCAGGTCAAGGAGCCCGCCCGGACTCTGCTGGCCGAGTACAGCAAGATCCCCGAGGAGAAGATCATCGAACATGTCAAGGAGGTGGTGAGTGAGCACCTGACACCCTCAAGTGTATGATGATCTAAAATAGAGACCTACAGCGCGATCGCGCCTTCGCCGTGGTAAGCCACCCTTCCCTCCTCTTCACAACACCCAGATGTGCTAGCACTCAACTCACCAACCCACCAGTTCCCCTACCCCTGCATCGGATCCTTCCGCTTCCTCGACATCACCATCTGCGCCTCCCCGGCCTACCCAGAGATCCTCTCGCGACTCAAGACCTCAGACGAGACATACCTAGACCTAGGCTGCGCAATGGGTCAAGACATCCGCTACCTGGTAAATTCCGCCCCAACCCTGCGCCACCACCACCCCAACTGACTTGCCCAAGATCCACCAAGGCGCCCCCGCCTCCCGCCTCTACGGAAGCGACCTGCACCCCGAGTTCATCTCCCTGGGCTACGACCTCTTCGCCGACCGCGCCACGCTACCCACCGAATTCATCCCCAGCGACATCTTCGACCCCTCCTGCGCCCTCCTCACTCGACTGACCGGACAGGTCGATATCATCAACGCCGCCTCGTTCTTCCATCTCTTCGACTGGGCCACGCAGGTGGCGCTGGCCAAGCAGGTCATCGCGCTGCTGCGCCCGCAGAAGGGGTCGCTGCTCGTCGGCCGGCACGTCGGGGACTTTGACGCCGGGGAGCGCGCGGACAGCGAGCTGGGCAATACCTACTACCGGCATGATCTGGCGTCATGGCGGCGGATGTGGGCGCAGGTGATGGCGGAGACGGGCACGGAGTGGGAGGTCGACGTGCGGGCGGAGGAGTGGGCGGACGTCAAGCAGAATCGGCATAATCGGGAGAGTTCGTTCAAGATGGTTTTTGTGGTGAGGAGGGTTTAAGTTGGCTGTTTGGGTGGTGAGAGGGAGAGGGGGGGAGCGGGGGGTGAGGGTTTAGACGACGTGTGTGGTCAAGGTTGTAGGTGGAAGAGGGGAGCGGGTGGATAAGAGGTCACTCGCAGGGACACTGGCAACACAAGCAATCTCAGTCTTGTTGATTTTTGTTTGGTTGTCTTGAAGGTGAGCTGTGCATAAGGTCCTCAGTCGCCGATAGCTTTATCTTATCACCCCGAAGGTTGTCCCCAAGGTCCCTGTACAATACACGTTGATAAGAAATGAGCCAAAATATTCCTCACCAGATTCACCATCGTCACTTTTTTTTTCTCTGATTTTCTTTTCCTTCAGACGAAGACGAAGATGAAGCATAGCGATCTGGAGAGCGTCAGTCATGTTCGCCGTGATATGCGGACCCGGAAGAAGTACGCAGGCCAACCACCCCAGCAAACACAGCTAACCACTAGCAGAGCGGACTACCTCGTGCTCCCCCTCCTCGCCACCGGCTTCGCGACCTACCAAATCGACCGGACCAATATCGCCAGCGCATTGACTGGAGGCTTCGCCTCGGCCATCTCCGTCGACCAGAACACCATCAACCTGGGCAACCAGCTTCTGTTTCTGGGCGTCATTCTCTTGGAGATTCCTTCCAACATGGCTCTACAACGAGTGAGCCGTTCCCCTCTCCCGATCCCACAAATTATATTGTTGACAGTACTAGGTTGGCCCCCGTCGCTGGATTGGTGCCCAGGTCTTCATCTTCGGAGTCCTCGCCGCCCTCCAAATCTTCATCCGTAATCGCACAGGGTTCCTCATCACGCGGGCCGTGCTCGGCCTCGCGGAGGCAGGGTACATCCCGGCCGCGATGTACACACTCTCCACCTGGTACACGAAAGAACAACTGACGAAGCGCATTGCGATCTTCTTCTTCGGGATGTTCGGGGGTGCAGCAATTGCGCCGCTCCTGGGCGCCGCGCTGCTGAAGCTAGATGGCCGGGGCGGGTTAGCGGGGTGGAAGTGGATCTTTCTGGGTGAGCAGCATTTCCCGAGCTCAACCCCCGCATCCGAGGATTTGAAGCACAGCAATGCTAAGAAAATGCAGTCGAAGGTCTCTGGTCCATCATCATGGCCCTCCTCCTCTTCATAGGCCTTCCGGACCGCCCTCCCAATCCCCGGGAATCCAACTCACCCTCAACCCGCAACAGCAA